TGACATATGTATACATATGTAGCCATGTGTTTTTTTTGTGGTCAAATTGCGGGGAGCCATGGTTTTTACTCCCTATATTGAGGTTTCCTGTAAAATTATGTTAAACCAAGTGCATCCAAGTCCATCAGAGACTTGATTCCTGGAGGGTTCTTTGATTCCAGCACCAAGCAATGCAATGGTTTGCCTTCCCAGTGGTCTTTGGATGAGACTAGTGCCCACAAGTTGGTTATATAAGGTATATATTCTATGTGTTTATTTATTTTCCTTTTTTTTATGTAGTTAATACAGTTTGCTGACTGGTTTTGTTCCGAATTCTGATGGGATACGTCCCAAATTTCCAGTGGGTGTAATATTTTACTTGGGGGCGCGGTTCCAGTTCTTCATATACATATGGTTTCATGATTATCGTGGTTGGAGTTATAAGTCTATATCATATCCCACCTTCTGGAGGTGAACTCATCATACTCATATCATAGTTACCCTCTGGTTATTTAACATAGCCATGGACAATGATCCATTTATAGATGGTTTACCGGTTTACCTATTAATAGCATGATGATTTTCCATGGCAAACTGTTAAATAACCAGATGGTATGTCAAGTTATAATCCCAACATATCCCAGCCTCACCCCAGGGGCCCCAAGTATTCCACTCTCTCGCTGCATCCCTCTCTGATCCTCTGAGCCCAGGAGCAAGGCCTCTTTAGACAGACACTCAGGGGGGGTCGTTGACTTGGTGAAGATGACTAGGTACGCAACGGAAATTATGACCGAGCATTGCTAGAGGTTAATGGTGAGGTTTTTAATGTGTAAAACATATAATATATATAGTCTACAAATGATGGATCTTTCATTGCCATGTTTCATTACCGGAGGGGCTAAGATCCGCTTCTGGAACCCTTCGGATATAGTAGACACCAGCATAGGTGCTCGGATGAGACAGATACATCACCAGGAAAGCGTGACTTGTTTGTGTGAATTGCTTTTCTTGTTATGGATATGCGGGCTTTGTTTGGAGGATGTCCAGTGATGTTGAGTTTTTCGTCCCTCAAACACCAATGACTTATGTCTTTTTCACCTCGACAGGGCAGGCAATCAACAAATCGAGGGTCTCGATGGTTTTGGGATTTTTGGGCGAAGGGAATGATAGACATTGATAAACTTCCCGTGGAAATTGCCAGCGCTTTGGACTTCAAGGGATCGGCTACCAAGCAGATGAGACAGGTCGCAGCGTAAAGGTTAAAATAGCGTTGCCAACGATGCCCCCAACAGATGCCAATTTAGAGGGAGTCCATTCTTTGTTTTGTTTTAACATGTTTTAAACGTTGTTTTGATCCGGAACATGTATTGACATGTCCTATAATTGTGTGCCGCACCCTGCTGATTCTTATTTTGAATAATGGCCTGCAACCAATTTTCAGTCCCATAGCGTCCAAGTGTGTAAAATATTTCCCATCACCCCAAAAGCTGGGAAGTTTAGCAGCCAAAAACTCTTCCAGTTCACCATTCTGGTGAGGATTTTTTTTTACCAGAAATGCGGAGTTTCAAAAGGTCAAAAATGGTTATATCACCGGGGAATCTGGGGTGTCACTTTGAAACATGTCGATTTCATCCTTGGAAATGGAGCTCAAAATCACAAGTTGAGAAAGTCATCGATCGCAAGGGCTCTTGACGGCTTGGTGCACAAGATCAGGGGGCTTATAGACCATAGCCATCCAAAGCCCATTGACCCAATCCCAATTGGATTCAATGACTTGTTTGCCCAGCTTCTTGGACTGTGGCACATGTGGTTCAAAATGTTGCCTCAAGGACACATCTTGAGAGTAATTACTGTGAGTAGAAGTTTTGTTTCGCGCTTCTACCAATGCTTCAAGTAACTGTATCGTGCCCGAGTGTTTCTGGTGAGATTCTGCAACTTCCTGAGCACTCCAAAGCGGGGGACTTGAAAATTCTGGCCCAGACTGAAACTCGTCACTGAGGACGGGCGCTTGCTGACCAACCCTCAGGATTCTTTGCAAGCTGCAGGGGTGAAAGACAGAGCGCACCCTACTTCTGTGGTGCAACAAGTGCCACTAGCCGCATCTTGCAAAGCATTCGCTGCATGGTGCCGCGGAGGTAGCAGGATACTGACCTGGGGCGACCCAATCTTTGGTGGTGACTGCTCGGCAGTTCAAGAACACCTTCAGACTGTGCAGCGAGTTCAGGGCATGATTCATGTATTTGTGGGCATTGTGGCCGATGGATCTGTGGCTACCTGGGGCCGCCCGGACTGCTTTGCAGTTCAAGCAGAACAGGGCGCTTTTGCGGCAATCTTGGCAGATGGATCTGTCGTTACTTGGGGCTATCCACGCTATGGTGGTGACTGCACGACAGTTCAAGATCAGCTGGTGAATGTGCAGCAAATTCAGGCCACAGGGTTTGCATTTGCCGCGATCTTGGTCGATGGATCAGTTGTTGCATGGGGTCTTCCAGACTTTGTTGGTGACTGCTCCGCAGTTCAAGACCAGTTTCACTATTTCTAGATTTCGTTGACCCAATAATACAAAACAACATGTTCTAAATCCTTCGACATGAACCCACATTCAATAAAGAACATGTTTGTGGTTTGTGTTCTGCACTTGAAGCGAAAGAGTGGCGTCAGTGACGTGTAAAAAAAGAGACGCGAGGAAGGAGCACCAATGGAGAAATCGCTTGGTCTTTCAACCCCCCAAAAAGATAGAACAGGAATTTACCACTATACCTGGGGGTGGACCGTGGATTTCCCCGCAAAAAAAAACAGACAAAAAACAGATGTGTTCGAACATTGTTATGCTCCCCAAATGCCTAGAGAGGGTATGTTCAGTATGATCAGTATCTTCATTGAGACATGAATGGTGATTAAGCAGCAGAAAAAGCATCACATTTGATCAAATTTTAGGATACCTTTTACTGAGGCAAACCAATAAGAAACCCAATACATGACTTCCTCATCCAACATCTCTTCACAGTCTTCACCCAAGGCGTCCACCAATTCATCGATTACCTCTGGCGAGGAGAGACGTTCCAAGGCGGGTCGATGGTTGGATTCCCAATATCGGATGACCATAAACCATATACCACATGTTTTGATCCTGGCACTTATCTAAAATGGTTATCCTGGAACTATCCGCAATGAACCATGTTTCCTTACGCTGAGAAAAGGCAGAGTATGGTTCGCTGAATGGCTGACTCGCTAGGGGTTTTGCCAAAAAACATGTGGAATGTCCACAACTCTACGCTTGTTTCAAGGCAGGCAAACAAAAGGGGGGTTCCTAAAAGGTGAAGTTCGCAATTTTAGGCGATAAATGATGACCATTTGTTTTGGACTCAAGGGTGCCATATGTTCGGAGCTTCAGCCGCAGGAAATCCTTTAAGCACGGCTGTTGATGGAATAATGTAACGAATGAAATCACTAAAGTATAATATGTTTTTAACATAAACTGGCAGATATTCCCATCATCATGTTCGTGATATCAATTTTGCTAGTAAGTTACGGGATGAAGATGATCCCCTTTTATCGTTGCTTGATGTTGCTTGTATGTATGAATGTGTATATATATATATGCACATACATCCCAGTGTATTCCATTATTTAAGTTAGGCAAACCACCATTATTGATAGTTATATCAGTTATACCAGTTATGTAATGTATTATATATATATACATAATTATATATCAGTTATACCCAAGATTGCAATAAATCCATATAAATCCCCAGTATTGACACATCCAAAAATCTTCATCTCTTCGTCTCGCAGCGTGTCAGGGCAGCAAAGCCAAGCGCCGGGAACGTGCGGAGGAACGGGAGGAACGGGAGCGCAGCACCACCGACCAATCCATCGAGGTGTCGACGGAGGAGGGAATTTTTCGACCCAAAAAACGGGGAATTCCACGTCCATAGGATCCATGGTGCTGGCATATGTGCTAACCTTTGGGGGTACCCTCTGGTAAACTAACATAACTATGGAAAATCACCATTTTTAATGGGAACATTCACTATAAATGGCCATTTTCAATAGCTATGTTAGTTTCCCAGAGGCTAACCTTTGGGGGTATATGGATGGTAAATGTTATCATAGCAGCACCATGGATCCTATGGGACAGGAATTCACCGGCAAAGACGTGTCACCGTGTAACCCCTATTTTTTCCGTTCATATTCAACATCCCCATTGCATGGTCTCAAATATGTGTAAATCTCCTATTAAACCATGGTTTCTTAAGGGGGTGTTTATATAATATATTATAATATTACGGGGGAAGGAATTAGATATGAGTTCACAACAATTCATGAAACATGCATGAAAAAAACAAACAAACATGGAGATAGGTGGATATACACTCCTGTGATTGTTCAAGTCGCTATGGTGTATGGCCCATTTATAGTTGATTTACCTATTCAAATTCGAGTTTTTGTGTTTTTTTTTGGTTTTACATAGGTATATATGTCATGTTAGTTTACCAGAGGGTAAGCAACAAAAAAGTGTGATTAGATATGAGTCACATTTCACACAAAATGGATGTAAAATCGAGAGAAGCTGAGAAGTGGAGGCGTTTATTTGATTTTATTTGATTTAACCAGCACAGTTGCTGACTTGGCCAGCCAAATTGATGCTTTAGCCAAGAAACATGGGACCTTCACTGGGTTTAAGTAACAAGATTTAAGGCATGTTTTCAATCTGGCCCAGCTCGCTCCACGCTGTCAGGCTAGACCGCCAATTTTCCTGAGTTCGAGAATGATAGTCTCTTCCATATGAAATCCCCATAAATCCCTCCTAGAAACTGTGGTTTAGTCTTGTTAAATGTATTGAATCTATTTTTTTTGAGGCCCATATCCATTCATGGAACCATTGGGATGGAATTCCGCCATCAGAAAGGTAACTTTAAGCATCCTTAAGCCCCCCAAGTCACGGACAAAGTCACACTCCAAGTCTTGAGCCCCAAATCTCAGTCTGAAAAGTTGCTGTGGACAGCCCCAAACATTGGCACGGCCCCAGTTCGGTGTCGCCAGCGGGTGCCGTGCGATGGATGATGAATGGAGCCCAAAGACACCGGCGGCGCTGTCCCAGGACAGGACCGTTGGTCCTGCCACACCCGGGAGGTCCTTGATCAACACCGGGGAGTTAACATGGGCTGACCATCAAAAGTCTTGATGCCAGATTGAACTAAATAATTAACAAAGTTGGGGATTGAACCATGAAGAATTTGGGATTTCACATTATTTTAAGGACCAATCATATAGAAGGTATATAATATATATATATATTTATATAATTATTAATTATATATAAATATAGAAAATAGCAGCCAATGAGCGGACTGGTTTGCATCCTGCCTTCTGTTTGTCATTCTGGGCGTGTTGAAGATGTCCTGCATTGATGGTTCGCCGAACAAACAACGCCAAAGGTGATTTCCGAAAAAGCAGCTGCAAGGGCTGCCGTTTGTGTGCGACAACTTGGATCTGTGCGATATGTTTATGCTTACAGAAAATGTAAGAAAAAAGGGATCATTTTTGCAGAACCGATGAGTCAAACTGACAAATCATTAATTCAAAAAGTGAGTGGTCGGAAATGGTTCTTTTGCCCATGAATGCAGCCAACAGGAGCCTGCAATGAAGCCAACGGAAAAAAGCTAACACAATGAGCGCAAAAGCCCTCGTCGGTGCAACCCCAATGTTTTGAGAGATATTCAGTGTTTCATACTCCTTGTTTTCTTGACATATCATGCCAAGTATATATTTGAAGTATGGATTTGCTATAAGGAAAATAATATTTATATATCTTTGGAGGGTTTCTTCAGGTACATGAATGCATTATAACGACTTCATTACAACGTTACTGGAATGATGTGTTTCAGTTTAGTAATTTATTCATATATATATATATATAATTATATATATATAATTATATATATATATAGAGTTGCATACATACGCTCTTTTTGTTGGAGGTATTATGCTCTGTTTTTTCCTTCAGGAGCTTTGCATCGGGAACTGCTGTGGGCGCTGGCGTCCGGGGCGGCCTATGGTGCCTGGGAAAACAATCCCTAATATCGCCATTTTTTATGGGTGGCATTGACCATCTCCAAATGGTAGGTTTATTAGTGGGTTTGCCACATTAAGACACTTGAATAGCTGTTATACCCCTTTGCTTATTTAACGTCGCGAACTGGAAAATCACCATGTTTCAGTTGGGTAAATCATCATATAATCATCGAAATAAATGAGTCACTGTCCATAGCTTTGTTAAAGAACCAGAGGATAATATCCCTAATTAATGTGGTTTGCAAACCAACTTATGACTTATAACTAGGGGCATCACTTGTACTGTAGAAATTGATGAATTCCTCCAAATCCCTTTGGGAAATCTTGCGCGAAATTATCGGGAATCCTAATCCCTTGGGACAAATATAGATATTTGACGGGAAACCATTACGCATTTCGGGTATGTATTTGTCTGCAAATTTTCTCTTAGATCAATCCGTCAATCTGTTGACAGATTCTTGGTTTATTGCAATGGGGCCAACCCTTTTGAATGATGGATTTTGGGAGAATTAAGCAACAAACGGTTGGGATCCAGATAGAGCACCAGATCGGGGGTGAACCAGCAAGCAATGGTATACTTCCTATGAGTAATTCCTGGTGAGCATATACTTGTTGATTTGTTGATAATATGTCCATTCCATCAATTTGGTGAACATGAGCCATATAACATCACAACGTATGCCCTTCCATTGGGTTAATGACACACTGGGTCACGGGGGGTCTACTAAGCAATTTCGATTACATGTCTACAGCTTTGCCATGAGCGGATGCCATAGGTTTCATGTTGCTAGCGATTTTCTCCCACAAGAACTAAGTATGAAGTAGAACGTGTATGAACATGTTGTTATTACTGTTGTTATGTTATATATGTTGTTTCACGTATGAACTTGCTCAGGCTCTCCCCCCAAATCCAGAAAATGCCTGAGGTATCTCAGCGACCCTGGTGGGGCAACCCTTGGATACCATCAAGACCATGATGCAGCATCATGGCGGAACATCATGGGAACATGAAGGGACTATGACTAAATAAATGTTTTGCTTGAACCTTTTTTTTTTTGTGGGTCCCGTGGGTTCCCAATTTGAGGCTGCCTATGCTGAGCTGTGGGGACGATTACCCATGTTCCCATCAGTTGGAGAAAACACAGCTGAGATAGACAGATAGATAGATTAGATAGATAGATAGATAGATAGATAAATAGATAGATAGATAGATAAGAGATTAGATAAGATTAGATAGATAGGATAGGATAGGATAGGATAGATACGATACGATACGATAAGAGACGATAAGATAAGATTAGATAGATAGATAGATAGATTAGATTAGATTAGATTAGATTAGATTGATAGATAGATAGATAGATAAGATCGATTAGATAGATTAGATAGATTAGATAGATTAGAAAGATTAGATTGATTAGATAGATTAGCTAGATTAGATAGATATATCGATAATATCGATTAGATAGATTAGATAGATTAGATAGATTAGATAGATTAGATAGATAGATAGATAGATAAGATAGATTAGATAGATAAGATAGATAAGATAGATAAGATAGATAATATAGATACAATAGATAAGATAGATAATATATATATATATATATAAGATAGATAAGCTAGATAAGATAGAATAGATAGAATAGATAGAATAGATAGAATAGATAGAATAGATAGACTGAATAGAATAGATAGAATAGATAGAATAGATAGAATAGATAGAATAGATAGAATAGATAGAATAGATAGAATAGATAGAATAGATAGAATAGATAGAATAGATAGAATAGATAGAGTAGATAGAGTAGATAGAGTAGATAGAATAGATAGAATAGATAGAATAGATAACATAGATTGATAGAATGATAGAATAGATACTGTAGATAGAATAGATAGATAGATAGGTAGATAGATAGATAGATATATAGATAGATAGATAGATATATAGATAGATACATAGATAGATTGATAGATACATAGATAGATAGATAGATAGATAGGTAGATAGATAGATAGATAAGATAGATTGGACAGATAGATTGTATAGATAGATTAGGTAGATAGATTAGATAGATTAGATAGAGTAGATAGAGTAGATAGATTAGATAAATAAGATAAATAAGGTAAATAAGATAAATACGATACATAAGACAAATAAGATAAATAAGATAAATAAGGTAAATAAGATAAATAACATAGATAAATAAGATCGATACATAAGATAGATATGTAAGATAGATAAATAAGATAGATAAACAATATATAAAACTAATATAGATAAATAAAATAGATACATAATATAGATAAATAAGATATACACGTAAGATAGATAAGTAAGATAGATAAGTAAGATAGATAAATATGATAGAAACATACGATAGATAAAACTATATTATATATATAAAAAAATAGATAATACACAATAAATAAGATAGATGAATAAGATAGATAAATGAGATAGATAAATAAGAAAGATAAGTAAGATAGAAAACTAATACATATAAATAAGATAGATATATAGATAGATAGATAGATAGATAGACAGATAGATAGATAGATAGACAGACAGATAGATAGACAGATAGATAGATAGAGATAGATAGATAGATAGACAGAGATAGAGATAGAGATAGAGATAGAGATAGAGATATATATACATATACAGAGATAGAAATAGAGACAGAGATAGAGATAGATATAGAGATAGAAATAGAGATAGAGATAGAGATAGATATAGAGATAGAAATAGAGATATAGAGATAGAGATAGATATATATGGTACCAACCCTATATATGGTGACCGCCCGCTCGAGTATCTGTGACCATGGAAACCCCTGGAGGACTGAGCAGGCGCGTGGTGTTGGCAGAGCCACTGTCCTGGAAACCATTGGACGCATGCAGGCGGTGCCGTGCCGATGCTCTCGTCATTCGGAAAAGGATAAAGTGCAGGGACAGAGAGTTCAAATTTCTACGTGAGTTTAGAAAAAATCGAAGGTGATGCAGTGATACTGACGCTCTGACAGTTCTTGAATCGTTTGGTCTGGATGGATGATTTCAACATATTTCAACAAGCTATAGATGATTCAATGGTGGATGTCATGGGCAATGGTCCTTTGATGACAAGGCCATACAGGGAGTGGTATCAGATTGGTGGACTCACAGCCTTCCCTCCTGGGCCTGTACGGGTGAAGGGAGAAGTGGGAGAAGTTAGAGGAATTTGCGCCCACCAAACCCAATGAATGTGCAACTTTTTGGATTATATCCACAATTGTTGCTGGTTACCGTATGTTCCTGTGAATTCCAACTGTTTGGTTCTTTAAATTCATAATTTTGAGGCAGTAAAATCCAATCATGTGTATAATGTGTAAGCCTGTAAGAAAACATGTACAGTACATATATTATATATTTATATATTTTTTTACACACACATACTTTATATATTTATTTGTTTATTTGTTTATTTGCAGTATGCATGCATATGCAGATGTATTTACATATGTATATATATATATATATATACATTCAGAAATATTATCTGATATTATATGTTTTATTTTTCTATATATATATATATATATATATCAGTTTAATGATTTGATATTGCATTTGTTTTTGACCTACAGTTATATATAATATTAAATTTGCGATATTATATATATATGATGTAGAATTTATATATTAGAAATACTTCATTTTTTAATGATTCCAAATATACGATATGTCTTGATGATATATATATATATACTATCCATATATGTATATACTGTATATGTGATATGTATATATATAATTATATATATATCGTATTTTTTCTGATTTTGCATGTTCGATATCATATACATACTGTCTTATCTATCTATGTATATATTTGAGATCCAGGTGACCCAACCGGATCACCAACTTCCCAGTTGGACAGGCTTCGCCTAGCTTGCTCCTTCGCACTGCCTACGGTGGTGGCCGTGCTGTCCTGCTGGGGGCTGTGCTTTTTCGGTCGCTGCCTTTTGTGGTGTACTCAGGCAGGAGGGCGCGGCGGTGATAAAAAACAGTGCGGATTTTCTCGCTTCAAGATTTTATTGATGTTATTTAGTGTATGATAATTAGTATAGAATGTATAGATATATTTCATTATATATATTTGGTCCTTTATAATGATCCAAAACATATCATATCTCAACATTGACATTCAAAAAATTGTAGTTTCCAAAATCACATATTTTTTTCCAGACCTCAAGTTGCGTACCAATTCCTCCAGGAACTTTGACATCGCTGCCGTGGCATCACACGGCACAGCTCGGGGGCGTGGACTGGCGCGTGTGGGTCAGTGGCATGGTTGCCGGCGTGGCCCGCGGCCTGGTGGTGCCTGGGATGGCATAATGTGGGTAAAACAATAACGAACCATCCCCTAAACCACCATAATAGTTAAATCATTCCCAAATGGGTGGTTATTGTTTTCCCACATTAATAGAAGATTCTGATAGAACTTGGATAGTGATGATGGTGCAGTTTCGGAATGATTTCATGTTGTACTGTAGATATATATATATATAATATAATATATATATATTATTATATATATATATTATGATATTATAATTGCTAAATGTCGCGCCATAAAATTCCTTCGCGGTCGACATGTTCCAGAAAACACTGCAAGTTGTTTTCGTGCAAATTTCTTCAGGAGAATCCCTTTGAAGCGCTGAAGACGCAGAAGCAAGTCTGGGGCACCAGTTACTTGGACTCCCTGCGTGCGGGCCACATTTGGCGAGGCAGAGTGGGTGGGTTGGTTTCAAGAAACCTCTGGGAGCCTGTGTATTTGCTGGCACCATATGGGGGTTTCCATAAATGGGGGTACCCCCAAATGGATGGTTCATAATGGAAAATCCTATTAAAATAGATGATTTGGGGGTACCCCTATTTTAGGAAACCTCCATATATTTGGTATTGTGTTTTGATTTATTTTATTTGTGTGAGCATGTTTGAACATTAATATTGATTTCTGCTCCCATGTTTGCTGTGGACAATTGTTCTACATGATGCTTCGCGTTAGGGACAGTTCCAAAGCCCTTCAGTGGATAGAGATGATTTACCTGAGATCATTTATCGAGGAGTGTCCGGTATTGTGTGGCGTTTGTGTTTTACAGTTACGCCGGGTTTTTCTGGTGCTCTAATGATCCTTATATATATATATATATTGTATTATACATATATATTGTATATTATATGTTATATATTATATACTATATATTTTATATTGTATCTTATATCTTATATAGTTTATATTATATATTATATATTATATTTCTTTACATATATTATGTTAGTCACTGCCCGAGATCCGCTGTTATTTCTAAGATGGTGAGCCATTCGCTGGCTCATCCCCAAGCTGCTAGGCCTTTCTGCTACTTGTGGGAGAAATGTGATTCTGGTTACGATGTTCTTCGTGCTGTCTGCAGCTTGGAAGTTGATGAAGTTGATCAGCTATGGGTCCAACAAATGGTCCGACATTTTTATGATCATGGTGACATGTGTTTTAGACACACTGCGCATGTTGAATATATCAATTGATCTCAACAGTAATTTTTTGTACGTGTCTTAAATGTCAACCCATACTATATCCAGGGAAAGGCGGCGATTCAACTTTCATGCGGCACGGATTCACATTTATGGGCCACAAAGGGCTGCTTCCAGGTTCCACCTACCCCAGCGGCAAACTAATTAAAATATATTAAAATATTGTTGAGCAACCGAGTCAGAGAAATGATAAGTGATTGGACAATGATGTCAACCCCGGATGAATAGGCCTAAGGGGAATATTCCCCTCAATAGTCATGATTTAATACTTAAGTGGTACCTTCCCAATGAAACAGCCGTTTGGGGTTTATTAATCCAGGGTCGACATTAAACTAAATTGTGCTGGGTTATGATCATGGTCCTTGAACTCGTTATAGACTTGGCAATCCATAGAACCTCCTAGGCCACGCTTCCGTGGCCTATCAAAGCCCAGGGGGAAGAAAGTCAACCCAGATCCAGGTGGTACTCCCCAGTTCTAAGGTGGTCTAGTGAAACCATCGCTGGTTTCTAAACCCCATTACTGTAACTCTATATATAATATAGCCTAGTGCAAGCATGGCATGTTTAGACATGTGTGACCACTGCACTGTCTGCCGACTGCCCAGGGAGGGCTCAAGCCAATAGGCGCGGAAAACAGGCACTGACCGTTGCCTTGGGGTGGAGGGTTACCCGTAACTTTCCCTTTGGTTAGGGACGTTGTACCGAAGCTTTGCTGTGTAGCCAATTGCATGGTGAGCGGAGCTCCTACCTGGAGCCTTGGACCTTTGGAGCCTGCGCTGGCGTGATGCCGGGTGAGACCTCAGAGGTGCCGACCTGGGATGGTGACCCCAGCTCTTTTGAGAGCTTTGTCACCAGCTGCCGATGGTTTGAGGCGGCGCTGAAAGACAACGAGAAGAAGCTGGCTGCACCGAGGATATGGCAGAAGCTCTCGGGGTCAGCGAAGTCTGTGGTGAGACACCTTGACCCTGGGGAGTTCAGCGGCGACCGAGGGCTGTCAAAGCTCTTGGACGTTCTTCGAAGTTCTCCTCTCCAAAGACTCCCTGTCCCAGATTCCTTCCAACGACTTGAGAGATGGTCGAGCATGCGGCGGACTCCAAATGAGACCATAGCCCAACTGCTTGTGAGAGAAGAGGAATTGTTTGTGGACCTGCAGCAGTCTTTGAGGAGAGCACGACATGAACGTGAAGGACTTCCTCCACCTGACCTTCAACCAGAACCTGCACCGCACATGGGGATTTCTCCAAGCCAATCTCCGACAGCTGGACCTGCACCTACCAGTGCAACTGCTGGTGCAACTGCGGCTGGAACTACATCGACGTCGAGCCCTACAAGGACTATGGCTGATGATGCATCGAGCCCTACTGGCGGCTTCTTCGAAGATGAGCTTCGAGGATACAGACTTTTGAAGTCATCGAGACTTTCAACAGCAGAGCGTCAGCACATCTTGACGATGACTGGCAACAGCACGAGGTACCACTTTGTGCGCCGAGCTCTACGAAGTCTCTTTGCTGCCGATGGTGAACTCGATGGTGACCTGAAGGGCCCTGCGAGAAAGGTGTGGTTTGCAGAAGATTGGCAAGAAGCTCCTTGGGATGATGCTGACTGGTGGGATGATGAAGAGGCCTACTGGTCTGGTGAGGCATGGTACTCCGCAGATGATGGCTGGAGTGAAGGGTCTTGGAATGACTGGGACTCCGCTGATGGATGGTGGATTGACCAGCCAACTACGTCCGGGACTATGTCATCGCCTGGTGCTGATGCTGAGATGGCCTCCGACGCTGCTGGAAGCCAACCTGGTGGAGATGTTCAAGTCGCTGAAGCCTATGCCATTGCAGCTGAAGCCAACAAAACGTTGTCTGAAGCCCGCAAGGCTGTAGCACAAGTTAGAGCTGCCCGTGGATACTACGACACCGGCGGCATGAAAGGCTTTGGGAAAGGAAAGTCAAAAGGAAAGATGGTGAAAGGTAAGGGCAAAAGCATGCGAAAAGGGAAGATGGGACCGTGTTTCATCTGTGGCCGTCCTGACCACACATACCAGTTTTGCCCTGACCGGTTTTCGAGGAACAAAGGTTCCCCAAAGGGATCTCCAAAAGGTTCTCCTTCAAGCTCAAAGGGAAGAGCCTACTTCACCTCCCATGATGACTATGGCTTCTACGTGCCCACAGGGGAGATCAATGTCCTCTCCACCCAGGACTGTGAAGAGCTTCAGTCAATTGGAGCCTCCAAGGTTGTGCTGGACACCGGCGCCACCGAGTCAGTTGCTGGTGTGGCAAGTGCTTCAAGGATGCTGGACGAGGGCAACTTCCCCTACAGGATATGCCTTCGAGATCGACCAAGGTTTCGTTTTGGCAATGGGCAGACACAACAAGCTGTGTCAAAGCTGATGCTGGACACCCCGTCCTTGGGAGAAGTGGCATTCTACTTGCTTGACGGATCTGCGGAGAACACTCCTCTTCTACTTGGAGCTCGAGATCTTCGCCAACGACAAGCTCTCATCGCCTACAAGGGTGAGTATATGGCCCACAAGAACGCCTTGGGAGAATGGAGAGCCAGTCCACTGACCAGTTTGAGAAGTGGACACCTGGCCTTGCACCTGTTTGAGAAGTCTGTGAGCCTCTCAACGCTTGTGAAGCCTCCTGAACGACCTGACCATGGACGTGGTGACCGACGTGATGGAGAAGGAGATGACCATGAAGATCGTCATCGCGATGGTGGTGGCGACGGTGATGGAGACCATGGTAGACCGAAGAGAACGAGATCAGAAGCAACAATGAGGTCTGATCCAAGACCTTCACAGCCCTCAGCGCATGTGAGTGCTGCGGTTTTGGCAACAGCTGATGGGACCATCACCAGAAACATGCTCTTTCCCATCGACCTTGACGCCTCTGAAGGCATCCCATGCAGCGCAGGAGAAACATCACGTGTGAGCCCACTTTCTTTTGCTGATGTGCCGCAAGTGACCCCTGATGACTACGAACCTGAGTCACCAGTTGAAAGGCCTTTTGGACCTGGAGTTTTTGGGTCACGCAGTGCTTCTTTTACCAGACACCTCAACACGACGGAAAATGAGAGCACAAGCCGCGAAAGCCGCGGGGATCGTGAAGTGTTTGATGAAGCCACAGGTACATGGATGCCAGTTGTTCCTGAAGAAAGCCCTGAAACCCATGCACATGATGGTGAACCAGTTGGACACGTTTTGGTGTTCATGCCTGAGGATGAGAAACCACCGTTGGCCGATCGCCTTAGCTCTTTGGCTCAACGCCTTCAAGCTTTGCAATCGGAGCTGAACTTGCCGAAGTATGAGCACAGCTTCAAAGCCATGTTGCCCTGCGACTCCAATGGACCCACGTCACCAAGGTTGGCCATGCGACGGGATGCACCTTCCAGGTGCGCTGAGGCAGAACAAGTACGCGAGGTGGCATGCGTGCAAGAGATGCGGCCTGCGTCTCAGCTATGTGGCCAAGGGGACGTACCAAGGGGAGACAAGAGCCATAGGGCCGGAACCAACTCATGTGGAAGCTGCGCAGATGGAGTTGGCCCAACAGTATGCCAAGGCCAACATGAACGAGAAGATCTTCAACGGCAAGCTCATGGAGATACGTGGACGTGGTTTGGTTCACAGTGGTGGGGCTGGAAGAACAACAGTGATGGTCAAGGCCGACGAACGTCTTGGCAAAACCCTGATGGCTGGCACTGGCACGACAGAGCCTGGCATGGCATCTACAACTATGCCGACTATGCCGGGGACTACAGCTACGCCGACTACTCCGACAACAGTGCCCGAGACTCCCGAAGTGCCACCGGAGTTTCAGCCAGAGCCGAGGACACCAGTGACCACAAAGGCCAAGGCAAAGGCACCGCCTGCGGCCCTGATGCGTATCAAGAAGGAGAAGGAACTCATGGAGCCCCCGACGGAGCTTGCAGCTGCATCGTCAACACCGGCAGAGACCTCTCCAAAGGAGACCCAGATCTATGTGGTGGACGAGGTGCTGACGATCTCGTCGGAAGGGGAAAGCTGAATGCCTTGTGGAAGTCACTGAAAAGCTTGAGAGAGCGGATGGGCTCAGGAGGTGACACTCCTGGAATGTCCCAAACTCGGCTGGAGGCTGAACCTGGGAATCAATCCTACAACCTTCACATTGCCAACACGGACAACTATCACCCGGAATTTGACTGCACCACGATCAACAACTTTGCGCATGGCACTGGAACTGAAGCTGGAAACAATCAGCTGAGCCCGGCAGTTGAGGCGACCTTTGAAAGCCTCGAGACTGCTCCAAATGTGACCAAAAAGTTGGTCCGCCCTGTTTTGGCACGGCGACTTGCAAAGGCAGCTGCATTGACCACAGTCTTGATGCAGCCCGTGAAAGAGCTCTTCAGCATGGTGAATCACCAAGTGGACCTGATGGAAATTGCGTGTAGCCCCACATCGGAGCTGTCTTCGACCTTTGAGGCAGCTGGCTACACCACCCTGAGAGTGAACTACAAGAATGGCTTCGACCTGGACACCAAGAAGGGGACCAGCCTTTTGAAGGACACCATAGACCTTCAGAAACCGAAGTTGGCCTGGGTTTCAATGAAGTGCACAAGGCTGAGTTCTCTACAGAACCTGACTCCGAGGTCACCTAAACAATGGGACAACTTCATGAAGCGTCGAGGACAAGACCTACGTCGCAATGAAGAGGTGGTTGATGCTTTGGACACCGTTTTGTCCTCAGGTGGCGATGTTGCATGGGAATGGCCTGCGTCAGCCCATGCAGGATGGAGTTCAAAGGCAATCAGGAAGTTGCTCAAAAAGATGCGCTACCACAAGCGCGATGTCTTTTGGGCGCGCTTCGATGGGTGCTGCTACGGCCTTGAATGGAAGGGCCTGCCGTTGAGAAAAAGATGGTTGGTGCTGACCACCAGCAGGGAGCTGTGGATGACGCTCTGCCGCCGATGTGATGAGTCTCACCAGCATGCAGAATGCAGAGGTGAAGCTGCGCAAGCAAGCGCATACTACCCGCCGAAGATGTGCAAAGCTGTTGTCAAAGCCCTCGAGCATGCTTGGACCACCGATGCCTACTCCCTGGAGAAGATGACCGAGAAGTTCCTGCTCAACTATGTGGACGCGGAGGACTACAACACCACTTCATCCAGGACTTTGACATCGACACCGACTTTGACTTCGACTTCGACTTCACCATGGACTTTGACCTCATCTTCGACGCGGCCTTCATCCTCGACTATGACATCACCTTCGACTTTGGCGGCATCTACATCGAGCTCTTCGACTTCCTGCGGCGGCATGGTCATGGCCGTCACCCGCAAGAAGCTGGCGCTGGAGACGGCGCCCACTGGCAAGAAGCTGGAGGAGATCAAGCAGACTATGCTGCGTGTGCACCGAGCTGCTGGGCACACCGGCATGAGCAGCCTGGTCCAACTTTTGAGATCAAAAGGCGCTCCTGGATGGGCATTGGAGATAGCTCAGAACTTGAAGTGTCCTGAGTGCGTGGAAGCTTCGAAGCCGAGGCCTCATCCACCAGCTTCGACAGGTGAAGAGCCCAAGATCTTTGAGTACCTTGGCACCGACGTCTTCGAGTTCGAAGAGCCTGGAGACAAGGGATCCGAGGAGAAGACCAAGCACAAGCTGATCATCTTCAGAGATCGTGCAAGCGGCCTCACCATGTTCGAGCACCTGCAGAACTACTCCAACGCCTGGGAGCCCAAGACCTCTGATGTTGTGGCCTCACTCTCCAACTGGCTGGCAACATACCCAACACCAAAGTGGCTAGTGGCAGACTCTGCAAGATACTACACCAGTCAGGAGATGCAAGATTTCGTGAACCGAAGTGGCATTGGTCTCACGATTGCTCCTGCTGAAGCTCATTGGATGATGGGTTCTGAAGAAGCTGCCATTGGCGTGGGAAAAAGGACCGTTGAGCGCCTCATGAGAGAAGGGAGCAAACTGAGCGTCCCAATCCTTTTCAAGCTGGCTGCTTCAGCCATGAATGGACACATTGGTCCAACTGGTTTTAGCGCTCATCAATGGGTTTTTGGCCATGGAGGTGGAACTTTGGATGATGAACAACTACTTCCTGGAATTTCACCTCACAAAGCATTTGATGGTTTGGCAAAAGCTCGTGAAAGAGCCAAGCTGGCTTTTGAGAAAGAACGAGCCAGCGAGCGTTTTAGCAAGCTTGCAAACTCAGTTGGACGACCTGTGAATCATCGATATCACTCTGGTCAACTTGTGATGCTCTGGCGCCAACGCGTACGCCCTGGAAAAGTGAAAGGAGTTTGGACTGGACCTCTGAGACTGATTGTCCAGGAGGGATCAACCTTGTGGCTGGCTTCTGGTGCTACCCTCATTAGGGCAAAGACCAATCAGGTTCGACCAACAACGCAACCTGAACAACTGAAAGCTCAACTTGAAGGCACCGCCATCTACAAGACTCCTGTCTCTGTCGAGTCCCTCATGAAGATGTTTCAAGGGCGCTACTACCTGGATGTTGCAGGTGATGTTCCCAGCGAAAGACAACAAGTTGAAGATGTGACTCCCGCTACAGTGCTCCAACAACCGACCACAAGCACTGACTCATGGTCCATCATCGAGCGAGGAGGACAACGAGTTCTGATTCGACATCATGCTCTTCCTCGACTTGGCTTGTTCAATCCCTCGAAGGTTTCAACATGCCCTGTGTCCACAGATGAGCTGAAAGGCACAAGGACAACCTATGTCAAGGTGATTGCCACTGGCGAGCACGTCACCATCAAGGACACCATCGAGGAGAACAAGACGCTTCAAGATAGATGGACTGGGGAGACTCACTTTGAGTTGAAAGAGGTGATCCAGCGACCTGCAAAAGTTCGACGCAGTGTTCCAAAAGGAAAACGAAAGGCTGAGGAAGATCCTCCACGAGATGGTGGCTCTGATGAACTACAGCCTGGACAACCTGAACCAGTTCCAACAGCAACTGGAAGTACACCATCTTTGACGCAGACTTTGAGGCGGAAAGGTCCTGATCAACTTGATGGCCTTCCAACCCAATCTTCGGCAAGCGCTGGCTCAAACATTTGTGCGGCCCCTGAATGTGTTCTTCCTGGTGGACATCGAGGACACCATCAAGATTCAGGGGGGAGACTTTTCATGTATGACAACTATGAAGGGCGCAGTGCACCTGCTGAGGGTGAAAAGCCTCAAGATGACGATGATAGCTCTTCATCGGATTGAAAGTCAGTAAGCTCCGCAAGCGAGGCTGCCGAGTCCGAGGAGCTGATTCGAGATGGTGACCTACCTGAAGCTGATGATCAACCAACAGCGGCTCCACCGAAAGATACCTTCTTGGCGGTAGAGCTGGACATCTGCGAAGATGACTTCTCCTGGCTGGCAAAGTGCCACTCCAAGAAGAAAGGCTATGTTTGGTTATCGAAGAAGATGGCCGAAAAGGGGCGAGAACTTAGCTGGAACCGCCTGACGCTGGACCAGAAGAAGGAATTCGACATTGCCCAGGCAAAGGAGATTTCCAACGTCATTGTCTCCAAAGCTTTGAGAAACTTGACCCCGAAAGAACTCAAGGATTTGAATCCTGGTGCCATAATGTCAATGAGATGGGTGCTTACAAGGAAGCAAACCGGAGATGCCAAGGCACGCCTGGTTGTGCTAGGTTTCCAAGCACACAACTTGACTGAGGTGCAAACCACCGCACCGACAATGGGCAAAGGGTCAAGAAATGCACTTTTAGCTTTGACAGCGGCGCTGAAGTTCACCCTGAAGTCAGGAGATGTGACATCAGCCTTCCTTCAAACAGGTACTTCACTGGAAGATGAAGAATTGACAGTATGGGCTCCACCAGAGTTAGCCCGCATGTTTGGTGCTTCACCTGGAGATGGACGAGCCCTACGAGTTGTGCAAGCATTCTATGGGTTAGCACATGCTCCGAGGAAATGGTTTGAAAGATGCCAGAGAACGCTTCTGGAGCATGGCTGGCGACAAATGAAAGCCGACAGATGCCTCTATGCCCTGTACACCATGAGAAACGGCGAGCTGACCCTCATTGGACTTGCTGGAATTCACGTGGATGACTTCCTGATTTCTGGAGACGGGTCAAAAGAGTTTTTGGAGGCAGAAGCCAAACTGCAATCTGCTTTCAGATGGGGCAAATGGGACATTGGCGACTTCACGTTTGCCGGCACCCACATTGTGCAACACGACGACAAGTCGATCTCTGTGGACCAGAAGGAGTACACAGACAAATGGATTGAAGAAGTGAAGATAGATCCAAGCCGATCTACAAAGGCTGAACTGAACCCCTCAGAAGTTTCTTCACTTCGTGGCGTTTTAGGTACTATCAGCTGGCGATCAACACAGACCGTTCCAGAGTACCTGGCCGAGACTTCGTTGCTCTTGTCGGAGATTGGCAAGGCAACGATTGGAACGTTGCACAAGGTGAACAAGCTCGTGAGAGAAATGCGTCGACGAGCTGGACAAACACTTTTCTTTCCAACATGGGAGACCAAGGACTTAGCAGTCATCACTTGGACAGATGCAAGCCAAGGAAATCGACCAGACCGATCTTCTACGGTGGGAATCCTCACCGCTCTTGCACCTTCAGATGTTCTTTTTGGAGAAGAACGACAGTTTGCGGTTTTGCAGTGGAAGAGTGGAAAAGCTCCAAGACAGAGCCTTGGGAGCAACGGATCCGAGGTCCAAGCTTTGACCCTCGGTGAAGACATGAACTTTCAACTGCGAGCTTTGATCGCAGAACTACTTGGTGCTGTACCTCAACGTGGCGAGATGAACGACCTCGTCAAGAAGATCCCTGGCGCACTGGTTTTGGACAGTCGTGGAATATACGACGCTGCAACGAGAAACCTTAGCTCATTGCACGGCCTACGTGACAGCAGATGTGGCTATGAACTCACGTTGGCAGTCAACCGAGCCTACCAGGTTGGCACTCAATTCAGATGGGTGAATGGATTGGCGCAGCTAGCAGATGCGCTGACGAAGATTGGTGCCATCAAGGTGATGTTGCAGTTTTACCAGCAACGCCAGCACTGGCGATTGGTTCACGATGAGAAGTTTACTTCTGGAAGAAAGGTTCACAAACGAATGATGCTGAAGGAGCTCGAAAGCCATCATGCCAACTTCCTCTACCTTGTGAAGAAGCTTGCCCAGGAGAACGGCTACCCCTGGGACGAGAAGGAAGATTTTAGTGCTTTTGATCCTCTAACCTGACAGCACAGCGGTCAGGGGGGATGCAAGCATGGCATGTTTAGACATGTGTGACCACTGCACTGTCTGCCGACTGCCCAGGGAGGGCTCAAGCCAATAGGCGCGGAAAACAGGCACTGACCGTTGCCTTGGGGTAGAGGGTTACCCGTAACTTTCCCTTTGGTTAGGGACGTTGTACCGAAGCTTTGCTGTGTAGCCAATTGCACCTAGTGTCTGGTGGTGTCCCCCCAAGGTGATTGTCCCTATATATGTATGTAAGTTATATACATATATCATTATCAGTAGTATATATATATATATATAGATATAGTGTGTTTAATACATGCGTGTATAGAAATGTAGTATGTGTATGTGCAAAAATGTATACAGTATTATTTACTCTGGTTGGTGGTTTGGAACAGTATTTTTTTTTCCATATATTGGGAATAGTAACCCCAACTGACTAATATTTTTCAGAGGGGTTGAAACCACCAACCAGTACTGTATTATCATCATGCATGTCATGCCAGCACCATAAACCGAAGCGTTGAGGACAAGTTGAGCGACCTTCGCGATCTTCCTCTGTCGGGCGACCTTGGCGATCGCCCCTTTCTGCGCGGCAGCTGCATCACCGTTTGCTGTTGCGTGGCACGAACCCCCCCATGGATCCCCACAGAATACCTTGATGTTTGCGGGGCAAACCTCAAACCTTGCTTGGAGTTGCAAGAAATGGATAGAAACGATGCATTTGGATTTTTTATTGGAACTTGGCTACAGTTTTCCACACAAGTTTGCTTTTGGCATTTTGTTTGTCGCACATGGAGGTATATCTAAGGCCTGGTTGGATTTTTGATATGTCCTCAATTTTTCTGGAATGTGCTACAGCCAAGATTGAGCAACTTTGCATGGTACAATACCGGTTAATGGTTCGTTGTAGGGAGACCGAGGTCTTAACGAACATGTGTAACATGCAACATACAGGCTCACAAGGCTCTAAAGCAGCTCTGTGAGTTTCATGGCATGTGTTGCAAGTTGTAACAAGTTGTAACTATCAATACGTTCTAATTCTAGTTGATACCATTGACACTGGCACTCTTTTCATGTTTTTGTTCCCTGATGATCTGATCCACTTCAGGTTTCAGGTTTCCCTGCTAGCTGGTTACACCATAATTTATTTCACACGTCCAATGATGTCTCATTGTTGTCGGTCAATGCCCTGTAGTAAGTAATCTAACAAAGACATGGAAAATAGCCATGTTCATAGGTAAATCATCTAGTCCATGGGTCATTTCCCGTAGCTATTCTCTTAAATTGCCAGAGGGTACTCACAGAAATATGCACAACTTCCCAGGATCATCACAGTAATTATATCCTGACATCTTCCCATTCTGTGTGCCCCATGGCATAACCCCCGGTTTTTCATCGACGTCGGTTTTCAGGTTGGATTGCGGCTTGGCCATTTGATGTGGTGAAGAGTCAGATGCAGAGCATGAGAACCAGCCAGGCCAAATGCCTCAGTGAATCCCTTGGTGTGTAACTACCGGTAGGTTGAGGTAAAAACCAAAGTATGACCCCAGTCATGGTTGGTGAATGGGATGCTTTTTTCTTTGGATTTTGCCACATGATTCTGTCTACATTTCAGGTTGGTGGTTGACGAGTAGTTTAACCAATCGCCCGTGGGATGAACAACACACGTGGGGATTCAACAGATTGAATGATCGAACATGGGGGTATGATGGGGATATAATGGGCCAATCGTAGCTACTGCCTGGTGCTTTGACATATTTCTTCGATCTTACCTGGGGCATCGCCTACTAGGCCTACTATCTTTCCAGGTGGTTGGAATTACCAGCCAGATGTGCATTCTTTGTTACCGCCCTTCGGTGAAAAAACGATGGCCCAGGTTTGCTGGATCCTGAGTGTGGCATGTTGTGTGACATGTTCTGTGACCGACAAAGTCTAAAGTGCGTCCGCAGATATCGGAATATCCATGAATATCCCATAGTGTGTGTGTGTGTGTGCACATTTTTGTTGCATGTTTTGCCGCCGAAAGTCCTGGTGAGTTGCTGACGCGGCGAGGTGACCCATGGATGCTGGTCGCATGCAGGCACCAACGGTGCCCGACCCGCAACGGTGGAGGGTGTTCCATTGCCATGTTGGATTACCAGTTGAAGCCACCAGCCTCAAGTGTGAAGGTTACCCTCTGGTAAACTAACATAGCTATGGAAAATCACCATTTTTGATAGGTAAATCCACTATTTCTATGGCCATGTTCAATAGCTATGTTAAATTACCAGAGAGTACAAGGTTGTTCTGCTACAATGTTTTCAACAAGATCATAGAAGATCAAAATACGGCAGTGCACACAGCAGACAGCCCTTCTATGCAGAAATCGGGGCAGAACCATGTCATTCATGTTCATGCTGTGTTGAGTGAGTAGTGGGTCATTTTGCTAAACCATGATCACTATTTGGGGCAGTCGCAACTCCACTTGGTGGTAACCAGACTTGGGGCCTGAAGCTGGCCATAGATGGTCAAGTCTTACGTTCACTGCTGGTTTTGATGTCAGTCATCATGGATATGTTTGAAATGAACAGTTGCAGGAAAACCCTTTACTGATTGGTGGTTTGGAACATTTTCTTTCCATATTATATGGGATAATTAATCCTTCCCATTGACTTTCATATGTTTCAGAGGGGTACGTATACCACCAAGCAATTTATGTTGGGTTAAACATAATTTATGGTAGGTATACCACCAACCAATTTATGGGTTAAACATGATTTCGTCGGGTTAACAGCCTAATTTTATGGTAGCTATACCATGGTATACCACCAAGCAATCACCAATCCCATGGTCTCCTGTAGATGTTTACTCTTTGTCCATCAATCCACTGAGATCATGGTCCGGGCATTGATATGGATGGATCATCGACAAATGGGTTTGTCTGAAATGGTTTGTCTGAAATGTGGTAAAACCAATTAGGGATTGATATAGATGCATCATCCCCAATTTCACTAGGCTAGTCCCCAAAATGTTGATGGTTTATCGATGTTTATCATCATGTTCTTTATTAAAATCACCCATGTTCACGGCAATGCTACCGGGATATAGGCTCTGCTGCTACTCTTTGCCACCAGCTACTGTGCCTCGCAGGTGTAGCTGGTCTTTTGTTACAAACCTGGCGTGGTCACATGCTCTACCGCGGGCTGCTGCCGGGGAGCCATGGCTCCATTTTTTCGTGACCTCACGTCGTGACCTCACTGGAGTGTTGAGGGAAGAATCACCAAATGGCTTTATTTCAGGTTAGTGAAATATGACTGATTGGTGGTTCGTTTTTTTCCATAATATATGGGATAATCCTTCCCATTGACTGATATTTTCAGAGGGATTGAAACCACCAACCAGAATATTAACCCAGATCTATACAGAGCTTTATTAGATATTACATGATATTACTAGGATACTGTATGTACACACTTCTCCGGCGATCCATTCATTATGACCCACCAAAGCAATGATCCAGCAAAAAGACATGAATGGGTTTACAGCACGGGACCCTTGAGAAAAAGGATGAGCAAGGTATATGTGTGTGTGTGTTTTCGTTGGTTCTTGCAAGATGGCTTTTGCATATCTAAAGCATACCTCATGGGCACTCCTCAATCTTCACTTTGGTAGAACAGCTACTGTGACACCCGAAATACACCTGCATCCTGCCAGGCTGGCGCGTGCGTGCTTTGCCAATGGCTCTGGGATGTATGCCTACCAAAAGGTTCAACAAATGCGGTGACCCTCGGTGTGCTGGGTGTCCTTCGGTCCGCATTTGTGCAGCAGGTGATAGCCGAGGAGCACGACGACTGTGGCTTGGCGCGTGGACGAAAAAGATGTGCGTCTCAACCCCCCGAAAATTGAACGCAGAATGAGCATAATGGGCATAATGGGCATAATGGGCATAATCGGCATAATCGGCATAATGGCAGGCAATCGCACTTACTTCAATTGTCCTACATGGTGATAGAGTCTTCCTGAACGGCCATGGGCTGCTCATAAGAGGCTTGGAGGTGAAGCCGAAGTCGAGGTGAATCAGTGAAGGTTGGGCCAGTTGGAAACCATTCATGGCTTCTTTTCACCGGGTTCAGATTCCTGCCAGGAAATTGAGGTGTACGGCTCCTCAAGGAGCTGGGGAGCTGGGAATCTGCAGTTGAGGTTATGAGTATCTAACCAATTCTAACCATAGTTGTAGGGGTTTATCTCAACTTAAACGAGGTTTGTCGCCATGGTGACACCCGCAAAAATGAAACCATCCTTGGTGGGATAAAATTTCAATGAACTCTCCAGCTAGTTTGATGGTCACTTGGCCGAACCAGGTGTGGAGCGGCCATGTTTGGCTGGTGCTCACCCAGATGTGTTTTTTAAACTGACTTCCTGGAAAGATCTGGAATGATTGTTGGCTAGGTCACCCTCATTCTTCCTGAGGGTGAAATATAAATCCACTTGCCAGATGTACTGATATACATATATATATATATGTACTTTACGCTTGCAGAAAAAGGAACCATGTTTGTTAAAATCAACACATGGCATTCGAGGAAGAGTCCTTAAAAAAAGATGTCCCACCATATGGGCTTGTCTCAAAGAACTCAAAGTCTGGAATCTCAGCCTCTAACGTTTCATCACTATTTTCCCTGTTCGAATTGCTATTTACCAAGGGTGGCCTACGATGGTCCCCGGCCTGATGAAGAATTCCTGCAGGTGCACGGCTTGCAGCAGGCAGTTACTCAGTTACTCCCCCAAAGGACTATACATAGAAGAAAAACAACTTCTGAGGTTTTGAAGGGCAGTGTTCCATGTTAAACACGAAAAGCACCCAAAAATGCGTCGCTGATTGCTAACATGGAAACAATCCGGTCATTTGCACAATTCCAACCATGGTAATGATGTAACAATCAATTCATTAACATGGAACGCATCTTACAAAGATCTCAATTAACATGTTCTAATTTTGGGGATTTTGATATGTTTTCTGCCATTTTTGAAGATGAAAATTGTTCCACATCAAAGATGTGTGGTTCCACTAGCATGTTCCACCAACAAAAACATTGATTTCCTTTATACTAGCATTTGGAGTCCGACCAGGAAACATACAGTTTTTTTTCACCTTGCCACTATGTGACGTACCGGTTTGCCAGGAAACGAGCACATGATCGATTTCCAACGAAACTGACGAACTTCGTTTTTGACCAATCAATTAGTTAAATAACCCATATGCTCCATGTATGGAAACGTTACCGACATGTGGGTATTTTTTAGATGACAAATCGCGCAAATATTCCATACATGGAGCATTGGGGTAACTGAACATATGATTCCATTGGCCTATGTTGATGACCATTGATGACTTATTTTGCCATATTATGCAATATATCAATATATCATCATTGTGGTACATTACCAGCAAATTAATATGCACATATATTTATAGCCATAGCAACTATCATTTGAATAGTAATATTTCCAATTAACTAATGAATCATAGTTGAAAAACTAAAATGTGACCATTGACCTATCTATAATTATCGATCCGATATCGTTTGACCTATTTATCTGTTTGTATCACAATATTAACAACCATTGACCGACTGGCCGACGTTGTCGCTGAGGCTATGCGCATCGAGCTACAAGAGTCGCATTTATCGCTGAGGGCGCAGGAAACCATTCCCTATGTGGCTTGGCCTCGAATGCCTTGGATGTTTGCTTCAAACATAGGATTTTTACGACGAAAATTGTGATTTTGACCAGATTTGAGCTATAACAAAATCACCACATTGCTGATTTTCACCATCACATATGGCAATTTCAACAAACATGATGGTTCAACCATCAAAAATTCTGGCCCAAACATCAGGAATGTGGGTTTAAGCATCACGAAATAGCCAAATGGTGATTTAATCATCATTCAATGGCCCAACGGCGGTGTTTGGGTGCTAAAAACGGCATTGGTGTTGCATGTTCTGTTGAGGCACTTACATTAGAGCATGGAGCGAGCTGTCAAACGTAATGGATTGGGAATGATTGGGATATGGGATTTCCTCCCACACCCTACATATGGACCCTCTACCTATGCATTCCAAATGCAGCACCGGTGGGAACGTGTCTCAATTGCGAGGTAGCCTCGGTGCGTGCGAAGAACACGCGTGCAGTTTGATAAGTTTAAGTCGCGCCGTGCAATCACTGAGCATATTAAGATTTTGTTGTTTATCCGAAAAATGTACCCTCTGGTTATTTAACATAGCCATGGAAAATCGGTCATTTATAGATGATTTTCCCATTAAAACCTTCATTTATAAGGGATTTTCCATGGCTATGTTAAATAACCAGATGGTAAAAGAATAAACATTGTGGTTGTCCATCATCCAGGAAAACGAACGTCGATATGTTGTGTCAAATAAGACGTTTGCTGTCCTGCAAGGCCTATGCGCTGCAGTTGAGTGGGAAGGCCTGCTGTTGAATTGTTAGTCATTCCTTCCCCAAATATCACATACCCGAAACGATCCCCTTGGTAAAATGCATTGGGTTTGTTAATTTTTGGGAATCATATGTTTGGTCGATGTTGATTGCATCACCACATTAAATACCTAAATATATTCCCATGTAATCCCTGATTCAGTTTTGTATATATTTGACAATTTGCCCCAAATAGTTGACAGAAGTTTTGTACCCGTGGTTGATAATTAGTGCGGACCTAGTGGATTTTGCCCTTTGTTATCCGGCGGCACGCAACTACATTCACCAATTATGCAAGGCAGCGCTAGCAAACCCGCTAGGTTTGCGTTAGTTTTTTCACACCCATGTTCAAGGATATTTTTCAATGTGTTCCTGACTGCCTGTTATTTCAACATGAAGAAAAGTCCAGATGTAACACTTGGCTCCTCAAACCTCAGGATGTCTTAGTGAATCTCTGTGCTACTTAACCGTTTTTCTATATTTTTGAGGTTGCGGCTCAATTTTGCGAATTTGTATGTAATTTATCATAATTTTACCCGCTAGATCCCCGCTAGCAATGCGCTAGCAAAAATTTCGAAAAGCGGTTTTGGCTGACCCGTGACCCAGTCGCCACCAGAGAACTTGTAGTTTATCCTGTGTGCTTAACAAAAGCAACAGTGACAGCAAAGGCAACGACAAGCCCTGCAGCAGATGAACAAATATTCCAGTTCCACCACTAATAACTAGCAGCGTCACACACTTCATATAGACGTGTGTTAGCATTTACTGCAGGTTTTAGCTACGGCTTCAAACATTAAATATAGAATGCAGGGTGTCCGACTATTTAGATAAGTCATAATTTTAAAGACCAAACAAGAAACGGCGCGCAAGGTATTACGATTTATCAACCAAACCAGGAGACACTTCGACAAACCGTCACATTATATATATAATATATAATTATGTATATATATATAATTATATATATATATTATGTTTATTTTGCCATGTCACATCAGATCACGTCAGTTGCGCAGGGGCTTCGCTTGCAGAAGGAAGAACCAGTGGCGTTGGAACGACTTGTGGCTGTGGACCGAGCCGGGATGACGAGCGGGTAGTTACGGATCGAGGATGGCCCGAACTACGAAATTGGTGGATACAATGGTATACTGAAAAAATCAGGACGAATAAATTGTTGAAACATCGAGTTGCAACCCAGCCATAGGGGTGAATAAACCATGATATACCAAATTTGTAAGGCTGGTTAAGTTGGAATAACCAGTTACATCCAGTTGTGATCCTCCAAGTAGGCAACAGCTGAGTGTTCCCTAAGAGTTCTTGGTGGCTGTTTAGCAACCAACATCTCCAACATGGTTCCCCCCATAGCTCCCAAACATCGGTTCCCCATTTTTTTCGACGGTCAAGTTTCATGGCTGCAGGACGTGAATCAGCGCAGTATTCACGGCCATTGCCTCATTCTGTGCATGTTGGAAGACTGGCCATACTGACATACTGGCTGCATGTTGAGCGGCTGTAGCCTGGCTACGGTTATTGTTCCCCCTGTGATGTAAAAGTCCCAGACTTTTGGGTTGCAGCTCCCATGATTCCGGGTGACCCGCGACTAAGTCGCTGGCACTTGGGTGACCATCGGCAGTTTGATACTCCCAGGTTGTCCCAAGTGCATCACTGGCTTAGTTTGTTCAGCTGTTCAGGGCATGTCTTACCAAGGATACACTTCATTGCACATTGCATCGGCTGCAGGCGGGGTCTCATGCCGGGGGAATGTCAATAAACTGCTGTGGTTTGTATGCTGGCAAGCCGAGAACGGCAAACCATCCCCAACCACTGACCATTGGGGGATTGTATGGATGCATATGGATGCTAAGCCGTACCCATGTGGGATCTGTTGTATTATTGGGAAAGTCATAGAAAGCCAAAGCATCGCGAACAAAACGCGGGAGGGCGGGGGTCATCGACAAGATGTTGATAGAATTAAGGAATGATAGTTCAACACTGGTTAACAGCCATGGTCCTAGTTAGTTTACCTACCCGATTCACAATGTATACCCCAACATGGCCACTTGCACATATAGATGATGACAGCCGATGACAGACGGCTATCACAAGTTTTGGACCAGCCCAAATCTAGTTTTGATGGTCAAAACTAATCACTAATCACTAATCCATCGTGTACTCAGTGTACTCACAATATCTCACAATAATTATATAAAGATATGCCTACAATGATATCCCCATAAGATGTTTTCTTTTTTGCCATATACATAAAATCGTATTCGATTATATATATATCATGCATATGTACATGCATACATTTGCATATATGCAGACGTTTGGCAATCTAAGATAAGTATGGAAAACCACCAGGATCACCTGATTTCGATAAGTGAACCATCCACAATCGGACCAGCTGATGTAGATTACCAGAGGGCCAGAGGGCATTGAACCCCCATGGCCCATGGCTTTCCCCAGAACTCTGTGAGGCAACGCTGAAATGGTCGCTTTCCTTTTGGAGGTGCTTTGTTCCGCGGGTGTTTTTTGGGGGGGCTCCAACATCAATGGGAATTTCAGGAACCGATTGATTGGAGGTACCTACCATATATAAGGCAATATAAGGCCTATGTAAGAGAATATCCCCAGAAAATATGGCCTTATATGGTACAGTACCTCCATTTTAGGATCCTGAAATTCCCATTGACCAACAAGAAGCCACAAGCATGGGAAAGTCATCATCAACATATCATCAAACACTGCATATGGCATATGGTAGTCGGCTTGTAGTCGGTGTTGATGATCCCAATGAGGGTTTTACCTGTGGATAGTTGAAATATAACACAAAATGATGATGACTTGGGGATGGTTTATCAAATTGGCTTTACCACATTTAACATCATTTAACCAGATTCTCACCCTGCAGGAATATGACCCCTACAATGAAACATCATAGTTCTTTTGCCAGGGATATAAATGGGAATTCCCCAATCCCAGTGCCACTCAGTGCACCTTTGGTGTTTTGGACGTACGTTACCCAGAATGAGTCGTGCGCTGTTGATGATTTTTTGCAACTGAATTAGATGTGCATTCTGGTGGGATTATGATTCTAAGTATTGGCGATCACACAATGTGGTGCATGATGATCCACATGATGTGCCGAATGGGTCTTAAAGTCGGAGATCCGTTTTCATTGGGACAGAGATGCTGGTCATCCATGTTAAGCGCTACAGTGCTACAGGGACAAGTGGATGAAAGTCTCACTTGTTTCTTCATTTCCTTCTATCGATACTACTGAAATCTACTGAATACAGCGGATTAATGTGTTTCTTGCATTAGAGTTTTGCAGTGTCTTGAGGGTATTGATTTTCCACGGATGTAGCACCCCATGCCATGCCCTGGCTTCAGATGCGTGCAGACGTATCGATTGCCAGTGCTTGGGATGCTCAGTGATGCCAATGAGCATCAACCAGGACGAAAATACTACTGTGGATACATTTATTCAAACAATTACTACTTTCAATTATATACTTACGTATATTTGGTTATTTGATTTTGTTAATTTATTTGGTTGCATACCGTTCTGGTACTTCACCAATTTTGGTCAACAAAAACCTTGGAAGAGTTTCCCGCTCTCGTCATTGGCTGGGTAGTTTTGTCCGAGCTGGTGGCCTTGGTGGCTCAGCATAGGCGTTTCCCGGCATGTCTACAAGCGACTATCTATGGAGGGAATTTCATTGGAGTATGCGCCCTTTCTGAGACCTATAAAACAATTAACACGTCCCAATCAAGTGCTTGTAAATCCAACCCCTTGTGATTGGAAGACTCCCCCCAAAGTCTGACTTCAACCAACCTTCCACTCCTTCCACATAAATGATCATAAATGGCCCATGGAGTTTGTCAACTGCTTATAGTAACTGGGTCAGATTCCCTCATAAACAGATTCGTACTAATCTACCCAGAAAAAGATAGAAGCAGACAACAAACCTACTATAACGACGGTAAAGTTAACCTTTTCTATATGTTTGGGGGTTGCAATCCAAGAAGCGAGGAGGAAGCAAATTCCCACCATGCGCAGCCTCTGAGACCTACAAGTCGGAGTTGCCCATCCATTTCGCAGCACAGGTGGGTGCTGAAAAAAACGGAACAAACATCATGTAACAGACCATGGCAATTAACAGTTGGGAAATATTAGGTTGGGATGCTGATCATTTTTTCAACATTGGATGATACTAGGCAATCACAAAGTCTTGCAAGCTTTGATATGTATACATATATATATATATGGGATTGTAGACTTGGGTGTGGTGTCCCAAATGGCAAAGTTTGCTAAACGGAGGCTGCTTAATAATTATTGACATGGTTTATCATATTACTTTGGCTATATTTACACTCATTTCGTTTACAGGGCGTTGAAGGCTTCAAAAAAATGGTACGCTGATGACTGGGTCACAGCCGTTTTCCTAGGTTGGCATCCCAAGCCGCGGAACTGGAAAAGAACTGACCCCAGAATTGAAGGGAATATATATATATATTATACAGGAAAAAAAACCTAGATCTTGGTTTACTGAACTGTTTTCCAGTATCAAACAAATCGAATATATATTCATTTTGTATCAATAAACAACGAGCTGACATAGTTACATAGTTCTGGGTAAATTGTAACGACCTCACTGCGACCTCACTGGGAATGATGGTTAGTAGGAGTAACTATCCCCAAATGACCTTATTTCAGGTTAGTGAATTATTATTATTTACCCAGATAGTTCTTTGAACAAATTACCCAGATAGTTCTTTGAACAATTATCACATATGGTCATATGGTTATTATAATTGTAATTTACCCTCTGGTTATTTAACATAGCCATGGAAAATGGCCCATTTATGGATGGTTTACCTATTATAAATGGTGGATCTTTCCATGGCAAACTGTTAAATAACCAGATGGTACCCAGACACTTCTTTGATTCCCTGGGTTGCCCCCAGTTTCACCATCTCAGTTGGCAAAACAGGGTGGCTATGACATCGTGCTGCGCCTGTTGGTCTGGAACCTGGCTGGCCGCCAGCATGGCCTTGCATGGCCTTGGCCTTGCACATGAGAGCTTCGAAGCATGTTTAATCCATTTTTAATATATATCTATATATATATATATGTGACTGGTTGGTGGTTTGGAACATGAAATTTCTGACTTTCCATATATTGGGAATGTCATCATCCCAACTGACGAAACTCCATCATTTTTCAGAGGGGTAGGCATACCACCAACCAGATGAAAATTGAGGTTTTCAGCCTTTTCACATCATGGGATCACTTGATGAAAAAGAAAGTGTCAAGCTCTGCTTTGGATTTGGTAGACAGTCCTGGCGGGTTCTGAGGGTTAGAGAAGTCATGCAGCCAACATGGTAAAATTCCACCAACAAGAGGTGCCCTGGGGTAAACTAACATAGATGTGGAAAAATCAACATTTTTGTATATTTTCCTGGGGTTCCTCTGGATTTTCCACATGTTTTTGTAGGTTTAATGTAGGGTATTGGTGCGCCTAAAGCAATGTCCAGGTAGAGCCCACCAAAGCCAAAGGTGGGGACAGGGATGGAGGCAGACAACAAGTTTTTTGTTTGAATACCACTTTGGTTATGATAACTGCTGCGCAACTTGCATTAGTATTGGGTATATATATATAAACATAGATATATAATTAATTAGATACATTTAAGATTTATCATTCGTATGCTCTGTAGATCTCTGTAGCTGATTTTAGACATAAGCTCGCATTTGGACAGGCATGAGTCACTTACGGTAAGTGAAGGCGTCATCAGGCCCAGGCTGCTGAGCTTTTGGAGGTTTACTGGATGTGGGCACCGTGACCGGCTGGAACGCACTGCATTTGGCAGTCGCGGGCAAACATCAGAACGTCCTAAGCCAAGATTTGCCAAGATTAGCCGTTTTTGTTGACCGCAGTCCGATCGGAGTTGACCCACAAGTTCAAGTACAGCAATTACATACAAGTATAACAAGGATACATGGTATTTTGGTACTTTCAGCATGCTGGACATGTCGAGCTGGGTCCATTTCATTCAACCACCAAGCAGCTGCGAACGTTCGCAGGCCTTCTATGCCGTGGCTGTGTCAGTTCAAATCTCACACCTTGCACCTTTTCATAATGCTGCCACTAATGGGTGGCTTTTGCAACTTGCCAACAGATTTACAGAAGCAGCGCTGTTTCGGCTGCAATCCGCTGCTTCAACCATAAGCTGGTAGATCCTTGTGATGGTATGCGTTTGAGTCCGCAATGACAGGAATAACCAGAGATGTATGGCGAATTGAGGATAGCCCAGCAATAGTGGGTAGATGATTGCTAGATGATTCAGCCGTTGCGGCTGTGAGTTTCCAACAAATAATGATACCACAGCGATAAAAAAACATGAAAAGGCAAATCAACATGAATAACTGAATGCCTATAATTGCTATGTTCAATAGGCATCATTGATTTTCAACACTAAATCACTAGTTGGAAAATCTCGGGAAAAAACCGGGTGCTTCAGCAGTGCTGCTTGTAACATGTTTAGATATGTTTATAGCATGTTAGTACTATATATATATATGGATTATATATATATATATATTTGTATATATATATATGGGTTATATTAAAATTATCATATTTATATATATATGATATTGGGCTCAGGCACATGGCTACTGGTACTTCTGCTGGCTGCCTCAATTCAGGGTCTGGGACCTCAGAGATCCGAGCGCCGTGGTTGTTGGGGGTGAGATGCATGATATATTATCATATATTACATATATATATATACATATATTACAATATATCCATATATCATATATATATATATGTCATATATATATATAGATATGTATAGTATATATATATATATATGTATTATATATATATATGTATTATATATATATATACCAAAAAAAAGGAAGGTCGAATTTGCCCTTGGCACTGTTGTAGATTGAGGTGATTCATGAATCACTTTTTTTTGTTTGGGGGGGATGGCGAGGTGATTTTTCTGCTGATTTGTGTGCCAAATACATATATATATATTTATACAAATACACGAAGGGCACAAGACTCATCATTGAAAATAGTGTGGCTTGTGGGTTTGTACAGTCACACTGGCTGCGATCTCGGGCCATCTTGGACCGAGGTGAACGCACTGGGTTGCTTGACAGCATAGCAATGGCATAATAGCCAACGTCGTGAGCAGGTTGAAGTGAATGATACTTGCCAGACAGAATCCCACGCTGATGCTTCAGATTAGAGCGACCATACCAATTTCAGGCATTTTTTTGGATGTAGACGAATCATATCATAGCTTCTGAAGAATCACTCTGGGTTCCAGACATGTTCATGCCATATCCAGATACTTGCAGTTGCATGTAGTTGCTCAGGGATATCCCATGAACGAGCGCGGAGTGCTGTAGGAATGCTTCTTTGTAAGGGGGTATATTGGAGAATTCGGCCCAGATGTGTCCATCCATCCACCATCATCCGCCTATATTATATTTTGATATATTTTTTGGTATTTGGACATGATTCCATCTAGTGGCTATTCGATTAGCATCACTGCCTCGCGTTAAGAAGGAGATGACATGCTGCTCCAAGAAAACGTGATTAAATGCATGTCCATTGAACAGTTTGCCAGCAACTCATCTTCACCCCGACAGTTACAAACCGTTCAAAACCGAAGCCGATTTGAGTTTTTTCTTACAATAAGGTTGCAAACGTGTGTTGTATTACCTTGCAGTTCATGAAAACAGCAATATATGGAAAAGCCGCCAGAACTAGATAATTTTCTCAAAAAATGCCGAAGTGGTTTGTTGTTTTATCATTGGGGACCCTTATTTTTGAATGACAACTTACCTCACAAAAACTCCAAGGATATTTTCCTTCCGGTCTCCCGGGGCACAGCAGGTCTGAAGCAACAGGCAGGCAGCTGATGCAAGTGAAGGTCCTCCAGGTCGCACCTGAGACCCAGGTGCCGTGGAGACCCCATGGATCAACCAAAAAAACTCACTCAATAACTAATTTCTTTATATAATACAAGGTGGTGCCGGCAAGATAGCTAAGTTGGTTTATAACTCCAATAACTATGGTTTATGGTACTTACAACTATAATACCTACTGGGGTTTATAAACCAACTTATAACTGGGGGGCACCATCCTGTAGAGGATAATAGATATATGAATATATGTATATCATATAATATATGTATATATATATATATGTGTGTGTGTGTGTGCGTGTCCATTTAATCAATTATTAGATTTTACTATATGTTCAAATAAGATTATTATGTTTGTTCTATCTTTGTATCTTATGTGTGTGTGTTTAAATTGTGATGATGTTTTTTTTGTTATAGTTATTGTTATTGGTGTTGTTTTTGTTATTATTACTGTATTATCATCATTATTATCACTTATCACTATCATTATTATGTTTATGGTTTTTATTATTGGATTGAATACTGTAAGAATCAGACTAATATAAATAACAACAATAGTAATAATGTTATATAACAATTCAGCCCATTGTTTATTGTTGTTATTGGTTTTTATTCTTACCCTCTGGTTATTTAACATAGCCATGGAAACAATGGCCCATCGAAATAGATGGTTTACCTCTTAAAAATGGTGGATCTTTCCATGGCAAACTGTTAAATAACCGGATGGTATATCTATCTATTATATATATATATGTGTGTGTGTGTTTATGTACATATATAATACTGTAACCATGGGTTGATTTCCATCGATCATTGGTAGCAGCCTCGGTAGCCGCTGGCTAGCCTCGGAGGTGATGCATGGAATATAGCCGTGGTCGAAGTTGGATGAGAGTACCCCCATGACTTAGGAAACCTCCATATATATATATATATACATATTATATATATACATATATATATATATATCAAAAAATGCAATTTGATCTTATAAACCAACTTCGCTAGCTTTCAGGCACCAGAATTACACACCCCCAGATAACATGCTAATCCCAGAAAAACGATCCCAACTAATGCCACTAATATCCCTCAAATCCCCATGAAACGGTTGATATCTTGTACCAAATGGTTGGCTGCTGCAACTAATTAAGTGTGTAAACCAACTTCTAACTACCTGGAGGTACATCCCTTGATAGTGAGTTTGCATCGTACTAAAGCAATAGTAGGCCATCCCCAAATTTACCATAGGTGCTGACAAACCCGCCAAAAATGTTGCTTTACTATTGCTCTGCTAACATTGACTAACATTATATTTTGAAATCCACCTGGCCTAACCAACTAACCATGGCATTTCAGGCGCAGCATTTCCTCCACCAACTGCGCTTGGAGTCTTGGGACGCCGATGTCGGCGATGTCGCCAACGGCACGGTTGCGCAGTCGCAGCCCTTGGAGTGGCGCATGGTGAGGCGCTTTCCACCCTTGGTGTCGCCAGGTGACCTGGTCCTGATTTTTAGCATAGCCATGGAAAGATCCACCATTTTTAATAGGTAAACCTCTATAAATAGGCCATCTATACCATGGCTATGTTAAATAGCCAGAGGGTATATACCATCTTTCGTATTTGGAGGTCTAAGGTGTTGTTACTTGTTGTTTTTGTTACTGCTGATTGTAATGATTGTTCCACTGCTGCTACTGCTACTGCTGCTGCAACTGCAATTGCAGCTTCTACGCTTATATAACCATTTGTTGTTCTTATTTTAAGATCAACCGAAGTGGCTTTCATATATGTGTGAGGAGAGATGTGCAAATTTGATCAAATTTGGGGGCCTCAGCAAGAAACGATGCAAACATAGTTGGCACATGCAAAATCATGCAAACATATGCCAAGTTGGTGAGTTTGATACAAAAAAAGATTTAGCATCGAGGCCCAACATGGATAGATCCACAATTACGGATTTGGTTCCATGGTGCCCAGGTGGGCGGGTAAATCCCAAGTGCGGCAACGTGGGCATCCGCTTTCCACAGCTGATTTCCAGTGTCATGACAGGATGATGGGATTTTGATGATTTTGGTTGTTTGAAGCGCTGGGAAGTCTAAGTGATTTGAAGATTTTGAATGTGGATGATGTGAAGCGGTGGTATTGAAGTGAAGCGCTGGTGGCATGTTGGTTTTGTTTCGTTTCTCTCGTTTGTCTCATTTGTCTCGTTTGTTTGAAGGCCAAAAAGAGACACTGCAACGGCATATCATGGCATGTTTAATACCAAAAAATACTGTAGTGATATTAATGATCAACCATCAGATTCCGGAGTGCCCAGTTTCGAAACAAACCTGTATCAAACAAAGGGTGGTTTAGCTTGGTCGGTTTCAAAGAGTCGGACCTCATAGTGTGGTTTGTTCCAGCCAACAGAAAAAGGCCGGGCTGCACAACCACCAGCTATAGTAATTAGTTTGCCATGTTTGCTGCTATATACAACATTATATAACTAGTTTTTTTTTGGTTTGTTTGAAAGACTGATTTATACAGTTCTCCTTGGGAAACTAGGACCTGAACTGCAAACATCCTGGAGGTTGTGGATGCTGATGCAACACGTTTCACATTTCACTTGTTTTTAATTTGCTGATTTCCGAACTTGTCTATCAAGGACTTCAACTGGAAGCTAGTCTCAATCGCTTTTCTTGTGCAATCCAAGAGGAGGTTGGCATTGAGATGAGGAGGTTCAATCCGCATCCGGTGATGTTGGCCTGCGCCTTAAGGAAACCAGTCTACCATGGATGCTTTCTATAGATATGCCTGCGGATCAGCGGCTGATTTCTTCATCACAGACCCTTGCTTCAGATGGGAATGGGCCAAAATGGAAGCATCCTTTAACGCAGTGAAGGCAAACATGGTTGCCACAAAGAGCGCAAGAGAGGGTTGTTTTTATATTCTTGGGGTATGGATAGCTATGGTTCAAAGCAAGATGGTTTACGATTCCAAAAATTGACTATGAATCGGTGTCTTCCTGGGTTTCACATTCTGATCCACGCCCATTTGGGGTCTTAACAGGGGCGGTGCCTGATGGTGTACCGAGGACCCAACCCTTGCAATGACGGGCACCATGGCCAGCTTGGAGCAAGGGTGCATGAACCTGCTCTTTGGCATTACATTTCGCTTTTCGAGGTTGGCTGTAAAGCATCCCCTTAGAACCGCGTGGTGGCAACGGATAAAAAATTAACGGCAATCAGAATGTCCACTTCATAGAGTGATATAGGTTAAAGCGTACGGGCCCAATATTGAGGGGGTGAACATCCATTCACCAGCTATTTTGGGCTTCACCGTGATGCCTGGGTTTTGACCGTTTTGACCCGACGGCCAGCTGCTGTTTCACTACAGGACAGGTGGTAATCCAACTGGGCGTGTCCAAAAATAAAGTATACTCTGACACCACTTTGTTTGGCCAAGGGACATGATAATGATGATCAAGATTTTTTTGTTTAACTTCTTGATAGTGGGAAAATCATCATTTAAAGCCATTTAATGACAATGAGTAGATAAGACTTACCAGATTTTACACGAACATATGATTCAAGGGGCCAGCTCCAATGTCCCTTGCTGGTTGGTGGCTTCGAAGATGTCTTATTGTTCACCCGGCCCTATTTGGGATGATGATTCTAATCCCGGTGGGTCCAACTGTCCAAGCGCACTTCGATGGTGCATCATTTCCCAGCCCTTTACTTGCGGCTATGGATGAATGCAAAGATAAGAAGGAACAAATTTAGCCGTAAACAATTTGAGCTTCTTGAAACATGTACCGATCATTTAAATTTGGCCGGGACGCTTCGCTCTATATGAGTTGCTTTCAGTTTTTCTTGGGTTTTCTTTGGTTAAAATCGCCAGCCAGACTGGGGGGGCAAGCGGGCCATAGGCAACCCTGGCCGGATATGATTAGAGCAAGCAATCGCACGCACGGAGAGTATCTATACAGGCGGGGCGTTGCTGGGTGTGAAAGTGGGAGACCCATGGAATCCAATTGTTTTGAGTTTTACTGGTGGAGATGCGCACTTCCATGTGCTCGTGGTTTAGTATGTTTTACCTGGACCATCCTGGGCCCCTAGTTCCTCTGATTTCCTGTTCCCCCTTGTGACAAGCATCGCCTTTGGGCGATTGTCGCCCAAAAGCCATCCCAGAACTTGCTTGCGCTACGCAAAGTGGCACTCATCATTTCCTGTTTGGTTGGATGCCCCCTCCCAAAAAAAAACAAAGCATCGACTTTCGTTTTGAAGTTTTGATGAGATCGTTTAGAAACATGCTGGTTTTCCACACGGTAGGAAATGCCACCGCTCATGATTTGAAGGGGGAGGATCTTGGGGTTTAGTTTATTTTGATGTATTTTCAGTAGGGGTCCCGTTGATTCGATCTATGCTTGGTGAAACAAGGTCTCACATGGTCTCACATAAAGGGGAAGCAGGGAATGAGAGCTGACAGTTGATGGCACCCAGCCCTGATAGCTTGAAAATCTGGCTCAGCTTATCAAGCAATGGTTGACTATCACCGAAAGGATGACAGTTGCATCGTTTTTGGGGGCAAACCCACAGTGGATCTCTGGGTGCATTCTTTTTAAAATCATGTTAAGGTCTTAACTAACCAACATATAGCTAGTCTGTATATACCAAATTATTCTAATATACAGTACAAACTCTCCATTGGTCATTTGAATGATGTCGGAGGGAAAGCTGCCATTTTCCCCCTAACAAAATCAGTCCATGGATCACTGGAAAAGAGTTCTTTTCATTATTTATCCAAGCTATGACAGGTAAATTATATAGCGCAGACGGGAAAGCAATGTGTGACTACCTATTTCAATTATATAATTATATATATACACTATATATATATATTTGTATGCAAATGTGTATGCGCAATATATTTTATCTACAGATACATTATATATGCATTATATATATACACATGTTATACACATTATATATGCATTATATATATACACATTTTATATACATTATATATATACACATTTTATATACATTATATATATATAATATATATATATATACACATTTTATATTCCTTATATATATACATTATATATATATATATTTTATCTATATATATAGTTTATTTATATATATATACGTATATTTACATTATATATGCATTATATATACACTATATATACATTATATATACATTATAGATTGATTATGTACGTTATATATTCATTATATATACATCATATATATATACATACATTACCTATATATATACACATTAAATATGCATTATATATACACTATATATACATTGTATATACATTATATATACATTATATTTACATTATATATACATTATATATACATTATTTATACATTATTTAAATATACTGTATACATTATATATCTAGTGTATACGCATATATACGCACACATGATTAGACATGTACATCTAGTTGCCACATTTCAGTTTATTGCAGAATTGGTTGAAAGGAACATTTACAGGAACACCTGTATCCATCCACATCTAGGGAACAAAACCCATAGTTTCTGGGAAGAAAAACATTGGTCCTGCTAAAGATTTCCCCTTAAATCCACCCCTCGAGACACCATTAAATAAATATAAACCTCTGAATATAAACTATATTAAACTATAATATGATATAATAATAATATTATTTTTATATACTCAGCAATTTCCGGTTGTTATATCCATGTTGTTTTTTCCTTAACATCCCCCGATTGATTTTTGCACCACACCAAGGTGGGTCGCGCACCCCTTGGTCTACCGAGGTCCTGCGGGGAGCGCAGCGGAGAGCATTGTTCGGCCCAGAACTTTACGGCCGCCAAGGTGACGCCCATCACCGTGGATGAAGATGTGTGGCTTGGTGGCCCAAAGTAGGTAATGTCAACCCCGGATGAATACCCTCTGGTAATTTAACGTAGCTATGGAAAATCACCATTTTCAATGGGAAAATCCACTATTTCTATGGCCATTTTCAATAGCTACGTTGAATTACCAGAGGGTAGATCATGGTTTATTTTTTTTGGGGTGGTATTCCTCCAATACCCTTCCAATTAAACAGCCTAGGCCTAGGGGTTTATTAATCCAGGGCTGGCATGAATGGATGGGAATGGGGAAATGGTGAAATGGCATGATTGTGAAAATTAAGTTAACATGTTTGGATCAGATATGATCAGATCATTCCCCCATAACTTAGCGCCAGAAATAGTCTCATGCTTGGTAGGTCATCCCACTTGCTGTACTACGTAGGTTGTTGTAACCTTTTTTTGTTTATTTTTATTCCTAGGAAGAACGCCACTAACAAAACCAGGAGTATAACTGTATAACCTACTTAGTACTAAAGGGGAGGAGCCACCAAGTACCCTCTTGCAATTTCACAGTTTCCTATGAATATAGATGGGGTATTTAGTTCTATGGTTTTCCTTTTAAAGATGATTATTGTCATTGTCCTTTTTATTGACTTACCAGAGGTTACTTAAAGTGGATAGTCTCGTAGTTAGTTAAATTGGATAGAACATAATTTACTGTAATGGGGATAAGTTACTATTTTTTGTTTGTTAGGTGGTGCCCCAGTCCCCAGTTTGTTAGCCAAGTTGGTTGAAATATGTATGTTGACTGTTGGGATCAATAAAACACATACAAAAATATATCCAGTGATCTATATAATTGCTTTGATTCATTTTATGTACAACCGAGGCATTATATTGGTTCAATAATTGTTGTTTTTCTTGCAACGATCACAGGGGTGGAATGCTTTGCTGCTTCAGGCGCCTTTTTTGCTGTATCCAGAACAGTGCAACAAGTGAATTTGCATGCTTTAAGAAAGAAACTCTAGTTGTGTGCTTGCATACTATGGTGGATGGGGCGTAACCCATCATGCCATTTTGGGCTCAAGTGCTGAGTTGCTCCAGCACTAATTTCTGGAGTTCCCTTTTCTCCAACCGTGCAGAGTGTGAGCCTTTCTGAGGGGATGGGTGTAACCCCAGGGGATATCCTCATAATTGAATCCAGACAATATACCGTTGCCTTTTCACCACAGACAGGTAACATCATGTCAATGTGTGCAACAAACAAAATAATTGGCAACAGCAAATGATTTTTCACATATTTACACATTAGGCAAGTTTAGATCCATTCAGAGACGCAAAGAGCAGCTTGGTGGACCCATTGGCTAGCCTCGCAAAAACTAACAGCATCATGGAGCCCACAAATTGATACCAATTGTAATTTCCCGTAATCCCTTCCCCCGTTCATATGAAACATCCCCAGACACCATCAGGTTTCAATAGGGGAATTATACATTTTAGGACAATTTAGAGGGTGTTGAATATTAGGGGATAGGATCCATATCCATTAGTGGGTCTTGTAACCACAGTTGTGGGGGTGATATCCCAACTTATGGTAGTAAGTACCATAGTTATAGCCATCAACAACATCCATAACTATGAAAGGAACTATGAACTGTTAACTACCAGTGCACACACACACATTATAGTTCATTAATAACCCATTTGTACAAGAATTAATAGTTATATCATGTTATATCCTCACTGTGTTTTTGGCTTAAGGGTGAACCCCCCCAAAAATGTGCACCGCCATATTACATCCAGGCTGGCAGTGTCTAGCCTAAGATCTCTTCCACAGAAACTCGCCTGCAGAGTTTTGTGCGGCTCCCAGCAGTAATCAAACGTGGCTAGCTCGGAATTCTGTTTCCATTTGTTCGCAATCTATTTGGGGGGGGGGTGCTATCCTGTAAGTGGTTTAGTAGGCGTTTTTTTCACCGGTTGTTTTAGCCAACCAGCTGGTTTCGGGGGTGAAGGGTGAACTGGGGGCTGGCCAAAAGATGTGGTAGCACTATGCACCCAAAAATGATCCGAATGGATCTCAGTCAGCAATTTAGACAATTTTTTGGGTTTAAGATTTATGTGAATATATACTAGTATGTATATATATGTATCTGCATATATATATATATTAAAATTATCAATTTGGATCGTTTTTTTCACGCTTAATCACCATTTTGACCATATTGAGTTATTTTTTGACCAGTAGCCCATTGGGAAGCGCCGAGGATGGACTATCAGCATGCCTTGTTGGACTTTTTAGCCCCAGCCTGGATCGCTTCGAACGGATTCCGGAAGGAACTGCTCAACGGCTCGGTGCCGCTGGGTCAAGGAAGAAATGACATCGAGGCATCTAAAGTTGATTAATTAATAATTATTAATTATTGTATATTATCGTTGGGGATTATGCTAACCAATACATGGGCATTATCGTACTCCATACCTGAGACCGACTGAGACCAGTTTTTCCCATCCATTAAAAGAACATTAAAAGAACACACTGCTCGATACTGCCCTAAAATATGGTATAACCCATAGGATCCATGTATGGTATGCTAACATTTGGGGTATATTGATGGTAAATGTTACCATATCTAGCATACATGGATCCTATGGGCAATGACCTAATTGATGAACCTCCAGTTGTGGATCGTCTTTACCACCCATTTCTGTTAAAGTTTGCACGGGTTTCTTATTGGCCTTAACCACATATGGCCACGTCAAGCAACATCACCATCGATGATGGTAAGGGAATCGTCCCAACCACCTTAAACTGTGGGTCTCTTCCACGTATCCTAAAAATGCCAAAAAGATCCAAAAAGCTGCCTACATTGCACAGCATTCGGGGCTCCTCATTCGGGCCAACAATCGCCGGGGAGATCCAAGGGCCGGGTTTGACGACAGCTGAGGAAAATGCTTGCAGTCACCCCTTGGCAAATTGAGATGTTGAAGGCGCTGGGGATGCCCGAGGCGGCTCGGATTTCACATCGGCGACAACGTGGAGGTCACGTGAACACCGTGGCACAAACCGGGGCTTAACCAGAAAAAATGCATGGATACTTAGACCCTCCCGGTTCCCATGAAAATGTGTAAAAGTCTTAAAATGTTGGGTATTTTCCCTTGTTTTTCTTTCGCCCCAAGTTGGAGGCTCTCCAATTTTGGGAAACAAAGCATGCATGGAGTAAGGACAGCCTTCCATTGGTCGCCCGGGCGATGTCCAGTAATAGCTGTTAGTATCTGTTAGTCAGTATGGCCAGTTTTTGTATTGTCTCCCGTAGATCTGTCCTCACTGCATGGAATTTCCAATGGTCTGTCAAATTCCTGGACTTTTCGCCAGTTTCACATTCGTAGCCAAGTTGTGGCGATTGTTGTTCCTACTTTGCGTTAGCCAAGAATTGTATATACAAAAGAAATAGTTGCGGTTTGAACAAGCTGGGGAGATGGAAGTGCATTTGTTATGGTTTTTGGTAGGTATTAACCATTGATGGGCCAGTTCGCGGTGATTCTTTGCATGGATCCCCGTGTTTGTTTCACTTCCTAGCACCCGTTTTCGTGACTGTCAACTCGGTCAACTTGTCCAATGGAAGCTCCAAGGATGCGATTCTCCAAGTGGATATTGGGGAGTACAAAGCAGATTCCCCCAAGTTGGTGCTGTGCAGCAAGCGATGCTTAGCTTATCCTTGGGTCCAGGGGGTCCAGGGACATCCCCAATCCTGGAAGTTGGCCAAGGGTCAGACCGGGTCTGACACTGATATTGTATCCCTATTTTACATTGCATGTTTATCAAAAGTTTATTACATTGTTTGACACTGGATACGTGTTTTTGTCATCACTGACATCATTGGTCAATGGCGTTTGGCAAATGCAAAGTGTATACACAAACATGTACTGTATATACATATATATGTATATATATATATAGTTTTTTTTTCCTCTGCGGCTTGCCACAGAGCTCGCTGGCTGAACTCTTGGAGAGAGAGAGAGAGAGGGAGAGCGTTTTTTTTCTTAATGATGAGGTAAGGTATTGCAAAAATCAACCACCCATCAAGTGTAGCCATAGCAATTTAGGAACCGAGGCCTCGTAGATTTGGATGGCATTGCCCATGTTGCTGCACTGGATGGTGCTAACCAAATGTTCGTTTTCCACTTTCTTTTCCAGAATGGGAACATGATGTTCACCTGAATCCAACTTATAAATTACACTATATATATATATATATACATGTCATACATATATATATATATATGTGTGTGTGTGTGTGCGTGTCTGTTCTTTGCGGGGTATCTAAAGATTAGCAATCGCTGTAGTCCAATTTGCTCGAGCGGTGCCGTTGTCGCAACTCTTTAGGCTCTTAGGCAGGACATCCTGCCCGCTTCAACAGCAGCAAGCATCCTTCAATTCATGGAGAGATCAACATCAACCACCACATGTTATATAATCATATTGAATCATTAGTGCGTCGAAAAGACATCATAATCCTTCCAGATTCATGATATTCATGCCCTCATCTAAACACATTGATTATATAGCCCAAAACCATGGCTTTTCATGGTGTTTCATCCAATGTTTCCCCTGGTGAAATCCCAAACTTGGTACCCTTCGGCCTCCATTTAGTTTGGCATTTCCCAGCCAGCCATGTTTGATTTACATAGGTTAACTATAGGTGAACTGCATAGGTTAACTAGGTGGTTGGTGAAATCACCTTTCAATCAGCATGTTTCCCCCCAAAAAAAACACACAAACATCTCCGTCACCAGGATCATTGCACCTCTTCCGCCCGGGGGGGCCTGAAGGCAGGCGTTTGCCTGAGCTGCCCTTTCGGGACAGTCCCTTGGATATCTTGGATTCTGATTGACCCAAAGATGGAGATTTCACCCCATGGATCCATGGTGGATTTACCAAAGGGATATGGCACAAGATTCCAGGTCAATAAATGGGGCATCTCCGCAGAACTTGCACTTTTTGGGTATCAGATAGTGCCCGGCCCCTGCAAAAGCGGAAGTTTCGAACAAAATGAAATGGCAATATAAGAAATCAATGGCTTATAGGAAAGTCTTTGCCAGAAGCACATCAACAAATGAGCAAATGCTGGTTGAGACACGAGTGAAATGACATGAAAGAATCCATGCACAACTGAACGAATGAACCAATGAACCATTGACTCATGTGAGTTAATTAATCAATGAAGGAGTGATGTAGTCAGTCGATGAAAAAAACATTCGGTGAATCAATGCATCAATCCATAAATCATCATTGAGTCAATGAATCAGCGAATCAATTACTCAAGAGTTCAACGATTCAATGAATCAATGAAGCAATGAATCAGTGAATCAGCAATCAATGAATCAATGCATCACTGCATCACAGTGAACCAATGAATCAATGAACCGAAAAGCCAACCAATCAATGAATCAGTGAATATCATTGAATTAAAGAAACAATAAGTTAACAATTCAACAAGTATTCAACGACGCAATGAATCAGTGAATCAACGAATCAGTAAATCAGTGAATCAATGAATCGGTGATTCAGTGAAACAGTGACCGAATGAATCAAAGAATGAGTGAGCTCGGCTCAGTCGATGAAACAATGAACCCGTGAACCAATTTTCCTCCATGAATCAATGCGGTTATCCAACCTCATCCGCCCTTCGATCCCCCTCAATTTTTTAAAAGGGGCCGCAACCACAAGTTATTTAACATGAGTGAATGATTTCACAATACAGTAGTTAGTTGTGGTTCACTAGCTCCAACGTGGCGTTTGAAACCATGCAACAAAGTATTTTGCTGCGAAGCAACATGCAACTGCCATAGGTTTCGCATGGTTTCGCTGAATTGAAGGGAACCCCATGGAACCCCCTTTCCCTGCCCAGGCCGGTCATATTCGGATTTTTGGCATCGCTTCTTCAACTGGCAGGTTGGACCGACACATGAATGGTAGGTTTAACTGGTTGTTGACTAATTAATTATTGGTTTGAGATCATATAATATAGATATTCCATGTTGATCATGTTGCTTGTCGATGTTTCGTGGTTCATGCATATCCCACACCTTCCAACATGTTCGAAGGTGTTTGGTGCAGGGTGCAGTCAGAAAACGGTCGCCATCGATGTGAAGACCGGTGTGGTGATATATAACCAGATGGGGGGCACCGGTTGGCAACCAGATGTTTGGTGGTGTTACCCTCTGGTAAACATATATACCCTCTGGTAATTTAACATAGCTATTGAACATGGCCATTTATAGTGAGTTTTCCCAATAAAAATGACCATTTTCAATAGCTATGTTAAATTACCAGAGGGTACTAACAAAACTATGGAAAATCCACCCATTTTGAATGGGAAAACGGCCACTATTTCAATGGCCATGAAAACCGTAGCAAACTGTTAAATTACCAGAGGGTATGAAATGATGGATTTGGGAGGGTTTATATGGTTGTCCTGCAAGGCGGCCACATGTTTTTTATCAAGTGGGATATGATGATATGTGGGATGTGTTGTAGAAAAAGGCCCTGTGGAAGACAAAGGTCATGGATGTGTGATTAATGATGCCGTACTTCAATGTATATTCATCAGTATTATATTTCTATATTTTCATTGTTGCAGATGTTCAACATATGCAATGTTAAAATATGTTACCCTCCGTTGATGTAAGGTATGGAAAATTGCCCTGCAGATTTGTGCGTGGTTGCCAGGTCCGGGATGAAATCACCCACGCTATCACCACGTTCGCGGGCTTAAAGGAGCGGGATCAGATGGTTGTTTCCTTACGTTTGGGCTGCCCCAAACTTACGGGATCTCCTGAGTTTCCGCAAGTTTGGACGATTTTAGGGTTCCCATTTGAGGACATCAGGTTTAACATTCTTGAAGACATCACTCCCGAGCCTTGACTGAGACTGAGCCTAGTTTGCCGGAGTTTGCTGTTTGAAGTGATGGGATTTAATTGGATTACAACACCTTAAAACCCCATTAAAACCTCCATTAAATCACCATGAAAGGAGCCATCAGCCTCGGGCGATATCGTCTTCCTTCAACGCTGCACAGCGCCTCGGAGGTGACGAGCTACGAGGCGTCATGGAGCTTTAAGCGACAAAGTCATGGTGATTTTATGGTGCTTGAATGGTGTTATTCTTATATCCCATGACGGATCCATGGTGCTGGTATATATGCTAACATGACTGGGCTATATGGATGGGATCCATGTTACGATATATAGCAGCACCATGGATCCTATGGGTATAAATGTATATAAATGTCGGTTCCCGAAAGGCATTTAAGTTCTGATTCTTGGGGTAGATTCAGACATTTCACGGGTAGAGGTGTGCCATCTTCTAGGCGAACTGACCCAAAATGGGCATGTTTGACACGTGTTAATTCATTTAGAATAATGAGATGGGGCAACCCAAAATCCAGGCCCATGTTTACTGAAGCGGGACTCTCTCTCCCTCTCTATATAATATGCATATATATAATATATGCATCGCTGGGCTAATTGCACGTCGCACAAGATTGCACAAGTACTTCAGGTTGGCTGGTAACAATAATATCGAAATCAAAGAATCTTCCGAGCAACAAATAAGGTATCCCCTGGTATCCATTGATCACCGAATTATCCCGAATTATCCCTATGAAAATGACCATGTTAGTTACAAGCACTATTTTCAGACACACCCAAGTGGAGTCGAAAAGAAATCCTGATGGGGAGATGGTTGTAATTATTGTAATTAGTATTCCACAAAGTGGCCCACCAGATTAACAAGATTCATACACCCCATTAATGTAGATGACAGGTAACTACCATAAATCCAACTTAGGGTACAAACCAACATACATCATAAATCAACCAACCAATATAAAACATATCTGAACTAACCAATCGACATATATAGAAATCCCACTAATAAGGTTTGACCATGTTTCACCAAGTTATACACCAACCAAGCAATACGCGAACGTTCGTGATGCCAAGGATCGACGGCCCATCGCCAACGAACAGGAAGCATTAAGCCTCACACGCACGGCCGCAGTCCTATGGTGATGGCTTTACCCTCTGGTTATTTAACATAGCCATGGAAAATCCACCATTTTTTATAGGTAAACCATCTATAAACCATGGAAAGTCACCATTTTTTATAGGTAAACCATCTATTTATGGGCCATTTTCCATGGCTATGTTAAAAAACTAGAGGGTACCCCATGATGGCTTGAAAGATATGAAGATGTTGAAAGTACCCTCTGGTAAACCTGGTAAACGTTTGCATAACTGATGGGAAAATCACCATGCTATTAATAGGTAAATCAACTATTTCTATGGCCATTTTTTCAATACTTAGCTATGTTTGTTTACCAGAGGGTAACTAAAGTAACCATGATTTGCATCAAATTCTCCTGTTGGATGAAAGGAGGCATTTTGCACACAGGTCGGGTTTCGATCATTGAAGCCTTGCGGCCAATGGAACCAGGCCTTGACAGCTGCCAACAGATCAGAACTGCTCACATCAGTCTGTGGTAGTGCCCTGGCGATGCTGATTTTTGGGGGGTCAACGGGTCAACGGGTCCTTTGGTTTGGTACCTTATTTCTTTTCTCATGAAATGAAAGTGTATATATAATTATATATATATGTAATGTAAACATATATGTAAACAATCTTAATACATGCTGACTATCTAGGAATCTAGGATTTGCCCAACTGTTTCGCTGGGGTATACCATGCCATGTGCTTTTAGGATATTTCGGCATATGGATGGTGAAGGTGTCCCCATATGTCTGAATGTCATCATCCCAACTGACGAGCTCCATCATTTTTCAGAGGGGTAGGTATACCACCAACCAGTTTGCCTTACCTAATTCAACTTCTGATCTTCCTTTGCTTTCTAGAGATCCATTTTGCCATATTGAAAATACCATGACCGTCACTGACCATTTTGGCTGCCAAGAAACTTCCATTCCGTGCCCATGGAGAGGTTACCAGGTTGACCCCCTGAGGTCGCGAAGACTTCTTAGAGCAGATTAGAGAGGCTCGTGAGGGTGAACTCCCATGGTTGCCGTGCTCTCGCAAGGTGATGGTAAGCACTCCAATGGCGAGGGCTTCTGGTAGATAATGTAGATATGTCGAACTAGTTACCGGAGCTTAACAAACCAACTTATAACTGGGGGACACCACCTTGTGGGTAAACCGACTGGAAATTGGTAAGTTAGTTATAGAAGTCATTTAATGGTTTAGATTTCAGAGATGCATGGCCAACACATCCAAGAATTCACTTTTTAGGAGGGTGTCAAAAAAAGGGCTAGTCTTTTCAAACTGGCAGATTGATGTGGCACCCGCAGTTCATAATTGGCAAATGTGTGAGACACTACATAGCAGGCATAGCGAACTATAGCAGTTCAGCAGCACTTGCCAACGTCCCCGTGTACCCTCCGGCAAACTAACATAGCTATGAAAAATCATCATTTTGAATAGCTACAATATCTTTCTGTAAATGTGTTATTTTTTTACAGCTATTATGTTAGAGCATGTTAAAGCTCATTCAGGGTAGTATGCAATAAAGTAAGACCCTGAAATCTACACATTGGTCGGGTTGATGGCAAAAGTTGCCTTGCACAGAGTGAGGGAAACCTCCTCAAAAACATGTTTTGAATTCAATTAAATGCAATTCGGTAATGAAACATGGCAATCGGAAATCCTCTAAAACTGGAGGTTTTATACTGGGACAAGAATCTTTAAGTGGGGGATTGGTATACCAATTCATATGCCAATGTTTCCATTTTGCCCACCATGTCACCTTTTTGAAATGATTGAAGGGACAAAGTGCAAGGATTTCCTCATGGGTCTCAGCCATAAAACATTGCAGTTTTTTTTTTGATCAATCCATTGAAAGCCAAGACAAGACAAAGTGGAATTGCCAAAAATCTGGATGCTTCAACCCACATGTTCAGATCACCAACTATATATCATTGATATATCCCATTGTCATCCTTTAACCCATATAAAGCAGATCTAAAACTGGTTGGTGGTTTGGAACATGAATGTTATTTTTTCAAAAAAAAATGGGAATAATCATCATCCCAACTGACTTTCATATTTTTCAGAGGGGTAGGTATACCACCAACCAGTATTTATCACTTCGAACCACCCAGATGCGCACGGCGCGGCTGGTCATCGGCGCGCACGGCGGGGCCTTGGCCAACTTGCTCTTCGCACCCAAAAATGCAGGCGGGACACGAACCGAGGGTGCATACCCTCTGGTAATTGCACAAAAAACGGTGGAAAATCACATAAAAGCACCATTTTGAATGGGTCAAGTATTCACAAATGGTCCATTTTCGCTATGTTAGTTTACTGGTGCATAACTTGGTTCAGGTACCCTCGGTGTCAAACATAGCACAGGACTGATTCCCCGAACTAGATTGGAGGTTTCGATTCTATGACTTTTTTTCCATTGCATTGATTGCTGGAGGGTTACATAGTGGAGACCCTAGAGATAGCTAAGTTGGCTTATAAAGCCAATGAAAACTAGAGTTATGTTGGTATCAGCAACCACCATCAACCAACATAAGTATATAAAGCATAGTTATTGGAGTGATGTTCACAAACTTGGCTTTCTTGGCCCCACATCGTCACATCGTAGTGGCTGCAGTAAGCCCAATTAAACATCACTTGCTACACCTACCTGGGATGTTGTCAGAAATGTCTCAGCGCTGTGCTTTTTTTGGGGGTTGATATTTCCTGTACTATGTTACCCCCATGACCTTTTCCAAAAGATACTACGAGAAAGCCATGAGTTATTGGAGTAATATTGGAGTTTCATATACCCTCTGGTGAACTAACATAGCAATGGAAAATCACTATTTTTAATGGGAAAATCCACTATAAATAGCCATTTTCCATTGCTATGTTAGTTCACCAGAGGGTACACCAATCTTAGCTGGGGCACCATCTTGGTCGACACCCGGCAGTGTCTTTATTTTTTTTCGTCATTATTTTGAAGACACTGACAAAGTTATAGAATACAGGAAAAAACTGGTAGTGACATCACACAATTAAAAACAATTTCTGTGTATGAGCTCTATCAACAGTTTCCTGAGCGCAATGGATAGCAGTTTTAAGGACCTCACCACAGATGCGGCTCACATATTCATAATGAAATGGGGGTTCGGGTTTAACCCCAGCGAGTGTTTCAGATTCAAAATTCTTAAAACAGGGGATCCCTAAACCATCCTAAACCCAATAATTAGGTCATAGGCCCATAGGTTTCAACATGTTTCAACACTAATTAACATAGCTTAATGACTTGGATTAGGATGATTTCGGGGGTACCCTCATGACTTCGGAAACTTCCCTCCCAGTCGGAGTGACCCTTCTGCACCGCGGAAACGTTCGGCAGGTGTTCTGGAGTTTGTGGGCACCGCTGCGGCACACGCTGGGCTGGCAGGAGAGTTCGCTGGCCGTGTTGGAATTCCCATGTGAGCAGAGTTTTTTTTTACAAGTAAAAATTTATATGAAAGTTGACCTGCACATGGTTGGATGTAGGCAGTTTGCTGGGGTGCGTAGGCTGGCGTAGGCATATTTTGCTTCATTTTGCAGCAGACGCCGCGTAGGCGACCGCGGATTCGACGAATTTTGCAGCCTGTGGGTCAAGATTGAAGGGTCTAATGAGTGTAGCTTGATGCGGCATGTGAAATTTCCGCTGTCCAAAAAACACAAGTAATTAGAAGATAGCAACTGTTTTGCTGAGAAACAAAAGCTAATGGAACTATTCCGTTCCCTTTTCTGCAGAGTCTCAAGCCTCGAAGTTTGCATGGCCAAAATCCGAAAATAAAGGAGCTCCCCCGCGTAGGCACCGCGTAGGCGAAAAGTAGGCAACGCGTAGGCGAAAACTCTCATGACCAGGGATGCCCCCAAACATGCTCCTGCAACGTATAATATTATATGTTGTTTCCTTGCTGCCAAGAAGCGACGGCAGAACCAGCGTCTTACACCTGCGGAATCATTTTTTCTTCTTTTACTTCTTCTCCTTCTTCTTCTTCTTCAAGTTCCTCTTCCTCCTCTTCGTTTGAGTCATCTGCGGACTGGAAAAAAAACGTGCGCTCAACGTGCTCGATGCATTTTTGGCGAAATAGGTAGTTGCCTAATGTCTTCTCACCATGTAACAACCAAGGAATAAGCACATGGCCCTCTTCCTCCTCATTGTTTTTAATGCGATCATTGGATCATGAACAGCTTTGTAAAAGGGTGCGCAATCATACGAAAATGTTGCTGAGACTGTACGCGTAGGCATATTTAGCTAAAAATTGCATAAAACCTCACGCGCGTAGGCCTGCGTAGGCAACCTATCCCCACCCAAGCTTCCGCGTAGGCTGAAATTGTGCGCGCGTATGCGAAATGTAAGCCTCGCGTAGGTACCTATAAAATGATAACACTCTACATCAGAAAAAAAAAACACAACTCATGTCAACGGGAGATCTCCAGGATCCTGAAATGGAGGTACTGTACCATATAAGGCCATATTATCTGGGGATATCCCCTTACATAGGCCTGAAAAATAGGCCTTATATATATGGTAGGTACCTCAAATTTAGGTTCCTGAAATGGCCTTTGACCATGGGATAGATAAATTTTTGACCATGGGGCGCATAGTTATGCTGTTGATTGTTTTTGTGGGATAATTCAATCTTGATTGGGTGGATAAATGGTGGAAAAAAAAACATTTTCATGGGAGACATGTGTTGCCCACCTTACTGTAGTTGTTCTTGGTGGAGTAGTAGAATAATTATAATATATTATAATACTCTTGTTGTGATGACGGCGGGGGGGGCAGCCCCAAAACTCCTGTATTATGAGCCAGTTTTGCAAGAACATGATCATGATTCACGACGGCATAGGCTGGGGCACATGAAGACAATCGTAGATGTCATGAGCGGAATCCCTCGATGGCCATGAGATCGAAATCCTCCAGGAGTGTGGCCGCCCTACAAGAGCTTCTTGGCCGCCTCGAGAGATGGTGAGTTGGACGCCTGGAGCTACGTCGCCCTCACTTTGGAACTATCCAAGTGCTGTGATGTTCCAAAAAGCTCCCAACCCACTAGTCGGTCCATACTTTTTTTTTGCATGAATTCTGTGCCACATCTTGGTTTTCATTGTTCATCATGGTGTTCGCCAGGTTACTGGTACGGAGGAGCTGGAGCGGCCTTCAAGTTCTACCGGGTACCTCGGTTTTTGTACTCGTAGCGGCTACCAGCCGGCAGCCGTACACAATGGTAGTGATTTTTCCCCACATTGACGTGTGGGGTTTTTGTTTTTAGTTCTGTATCCGCTCCTCCTCCTCGTCCTCCTTCCTTCCCGTCCTCCCTCCCTCCCTCCATCACTCACTCTCACACTCACTCACTCACACTCCCTCCCTCCATCACTCACTCTCACACTCACTCACTCACACTCACTCTCTCACTCACTCACTCACTCACACTCACTCACTCACACACTCACTCACTCTCACTCACTCACTCACACACTCTCACTCACTCACTCACACTCACTCACTCACTCACTCACTCACTCACTCACTCACTCACACACACTCCCTCCCTCCCTCACTCTCTCACTCACTCAGGGCTCCGCCTCTTTTGCGTGGCAGGCGTGGGACAATGTGCACTGCCAAGGGGTCGGATGTACGCCCTGGCGTCCCTCGGGCTCCGCCTCTTTTGCGTGGCAGGCGTGGGACAATGTGCACTGCCAAGGGGTCGGATGTACGCCCTGGCGTCCCTCGGGCTCCGCCTCTTTTGCGTGGCAGGCGTGGGACAATGTGCACTGCCAAGGGGTCGGATGTACGCCCTGGCGTCCCTTGGGCTCCGCCTCTTTTGCGTGGCAGGCGTGGGACAATGTGCACTGCCAAGGGGTCGGATGTACGCCCTGGCGTCCCTTGGGCTCCGCCTCTTTTGCGTGGCAGGCGTGGGACAATGTGCACTGCCAAGGGGTCGGATGTACGCCCTGGCGTCCCTTGGTCTCCGCCTCTTTTGCGTGGCAGGCGTGGGACAATGTGCACTGCCAAGGGGTCGGATGTACGCCCTGGCGTCCCTTGGTCTCCGCGTCTTGTGCACTGCTCGGATGTTGGCGTGGCAGGCGTGGGACAATGTGCACTGCCAAGGGGTCGGATGTACGCCCTGGCGTCCCTCGGGCTCCGCCTCTTTTGCGTGGCAGGCGTGGCACAATGTGCACTGCCAAGGGGTCGGATGTACGCCCTGGCGTCCCGGGTCTCCGCCTCTTTTGCGTGGCAGGCGTGGCACAATGTGCACTGCCAAGGGGTCGGATGTACGCCCTGGCAGGCGTGGGACAATGTGCACTTGCCAAGGGGTCTGGCGTCGGGCTCTCTTTTGCGTGGCAGGCGTGGCACAATGTGCACTGCCAAGGGGTCGGATGTACGCCCTGGCGTCCCTGGGTCTCCGCCTCTTTTGCGTGGCAGGCGTGGGCAATGTGCACTGCCAAGGGGTCGGATGTACGCCCTGGCGTCCCTGGGTCTCCGCCTCTTTTGCGTGGCAGGCGTGGGACAATGTGCACTGCCAAGGGGTCGGATGTACGCCCTGGCGTCCCTCGGGCTCCGCCTCTTTTGCGTGGCAGGCGTGGGACAATGTGCACTGCCAAGGGGTCGGATGTACGCCCTGGCGTCCCTCGGGCTCCGCGTCTTTTGCGTGGCAGGCGTGGGACAATGTGCACTGCCAAGGGGTCGGATGTACGCCCTGGCGTCCCTCGGGCTCCGCCTCTTTTGCATGGCAGGCGTGGGACAATGTGACAGCCAAGGGGTCGGATGTACGCCCTGGCGTCCCTCGGGCTCCGTCTTTTGCGTGGCAGGCGTGGGACAATGTGCACTGCCAAGGGCTCGGATGTACGCCCTGGCGTCCCTCGGGCTCCGCCTCTTTTGCGTGGCAGGCGTGGGACAATGTGCACTGCCAAGGGGTCGGATGTACGCCCTGGCGTCCCTCGGGCTCCGCCTCTTTTGCGTGGCAGGCGTGGGACAATGTGCACTGCCAAGGGGTCGGATGCACGCTCTGGTTCGGATGTATGCTTTGGCGTCCCTTGGCACTCACTCACTCACTCACTCACTCACACTCACCTTACTCTCTCACTCTCACTCCTCACACTTGCTCCGTCACTCACTCACTCACTGACTCACTGACGCACTCACTCACTCACTCACTCACTCACCCACTCACTCACTCACTCACTCACTCAAACTGGCTGTGCCGAAGTTCTGGATGGGCCCAAACTCCTCTGAGTCCTGTTGTTCCTGCTCTTCATCCGCATTCTCCTGCCGTGCATCCTCCTTGGATTGTCTGGGGTCTGGATTTGGGACCGGTGCGTTCCCGGTCAAGATGCTAGATTGTTTCTTCTCAGCAAATAGCCCATGCAGTATGGCCGCTGAAATTCTCTGAGCAGATTTTTGTACTGCTTCGACTGCGTGCAACGCTTTGACTCCTCTCTGGCAAACCACTGTTTTCGACTGGATGTGCCATCCATCCACAACATTATGCGCCTCACAAACTGCAGGGATCCAAGTCGCATCTGAGACAACCGCCTTCATATACTCGACTGCAAGCGCCATCTTGAACATGTCTTTGGTGGTGTTCATGTTTTTGCTGGCATTTTTGGCCTTCAAGCCAGTTCTTTTGTCCAGGCCAATGCATATTGGCAGGAGGGTGCGACTTGGACGCCCGACTATCCACCGGCCAAAGGCAGCCTGGGGCCACCAGGAAGATGGGAGAAGCTCATAGAAGCTCTGGAGAAAACCATCACTCACACTCACTCACTCACTCACTCACTCACTCACCTACCTCACCTACCTCACCTACCTCACCTACCTCACCTACCTCACCTCACCACCTACCTCACCACCTACCTCACCTACCGCACTCACTCACTCACCACCCACTCACTCACTTCACTTCACTTCACTTCACTTCACTTCACTTCACTTCACTTCACTTCACTTCACTTCACTTCACTTCACTTCACTTCACTTCACTCACTTCACTCACTCTCACATCACTCACACACACCACACTCGCATCACTCACTCACACTCTCACTCACTCACTGTACATGAACATACATACATACACACAAACTCACCCACCATCACCGCTCCATCACTCTTATACTTCCTCTTCCCTTCTTGCTCTTCTATGGTCAGTCTAAGTCTAAAGAAGTTGGTAACATGTGGGGTTATCCGGTCCTTTAATTCTCTACCCGCATTGGCAACGGGAAAATGATGGAACATGGGAATGTTGCAGTGCCATGGTCATTCGATAGCCGATAGGAAAGCAAACATCCACGTTTGGGGATGCGAATGATTTTCTTGGATTCCTAGACCACACCCCAGCCCTTGGAAACACCATGCCCAGGATTGATAAGCACTGATTTTATTCAGAGCAGGGGTACCATTTTCAAGAGTGAACAGTATCATCATGGATCCGGGGTTGACCTTGAAATTCCCCAGACTCCTCATGTGGTGCACTTTGTTTGTGTTGATGTTTAAACCTTGGCAATTCATTGGCCCCGTTCCATTTTTCTACAGTTTCTCCATGTTTCTCCCGGAGGATGTATTTGAAGTCAGGCTATCAACTTCTAGATTTGAGAACATCCTTCTTGACGTGAAACGATCTGTAGACCTGTGTCAGCCTGTGTCCATGATTCTCTGCTCCTGCAACTTATAATACCGTCCCATCCCATCCCCTAATAACACACCTGATGTGGGCCAACTGAAAATTTATCTTTGGCAGGTCAGTGAACAACATTGCCATAAAATGCCATAAATAGGAAAATGAGACGACTACTGAGCTAGAAATCAAGTGTTTGTAGGGTACCCAAGAGCCATGACTACGGACAACCTGTAACACCTTCACTGTAAATAGTGATTGGTAGGGGCGAGTCCGAGACGCTCAAAATAAGACCGAACATCATGGTGATTCGTAGGGGGATCATCCACAAAATGGCGTCATGTTCGGCCTATTCTGATGTGAGAATTCTAGTATAGTAAGCTGCCATCATTCTTCAGTGAGTCATAATTTCTCTTTGAAAATAATATGGATGACACTTCCCAACACCACTACAACAAGACTCACCAATTTCGGAATACTTCAAACCAATAAACCACAATACACCCAGGTGTTCCCGAAAAACAACTTTTAAAAATGCAGGTGTTCCCAAAAAAGAGCGTTGACTTCTTAAGTTACTGGAACCATCAGAGAAACCCCCCAAGATGTCAGGGTACAAAGCATGGCCCCTCAGGTGGTGTTGTATGACGCCGATGCAGAGGGGAACTGGGCCTTAGAGCTCCCAGACTACGAGTTGGCGCTGCAGGAATGGCTGGCCACCGAGAAGCCGTTGCAGCATACTGTCTGAGGGCAGCCTGCTTTCATGAAGAAAAAAATTGGTGAAAATGATGATTTTACCATGGGTGCAATTGGGATGTGTATATAGAATGTAATAATAATAATATATATATATATTTACATCATGTGTATAAATATAGGTCATTGTATGTATATATATATATACACATATTACATTATATATACATATATATATATATGCACATATTATATTATATATATACCAGGTTTTTTTAAATTTCTATACATGCATAACAGGATATGGGCGTGTGACCATCAAACATCGAGATTGTTCAATAAAAGATGAAGTATAACACCAACCATACTGGGATATAGTGGGATAGATCTGGACGTGGGGGGTACCTTAAAACTGCTCTCATCTAGCGGGGAAAGTGATGATAAACAGCGTGGCTTTTGATGTACCTATTTTAAGACCGACCCATAAATATATATATATATATATCTGTGTGTGTTTGTGTAGATAGATGTATACATATATATATATATATATGTATGTAGGTAGGTAGGTATGTATGTAATGTAATGTTATGTAATGTTATGTTATGTTATGTAATGTAATGTAACGTAACGTAATGTAATGTATGTATGTATGTATATGCATACAGATATATATAGTCACAAGTTTGTTTCTTTTTGACTGCCTCCATTACAATGCAGCAGGTGCCAATTTTGTTGCCCGTGGCGGTGCTAATCCATAGATCCACCGAGGGTCGCAACTCCACAAAGCAGTTACCAAAGATCTAGGTGAAAGCAGATTGAAAAAGGCTGGTTTTTTTTTCTGGTGTTTTTGTTGTTATGTTATGGTGCAAAGCTACTGATGATTGATGTATATAAATCTTAGTACTTTCGGCTTTGGACTTGGAAGTTACTGTACTAAGCAGCTCATTGCCTCTTGAGTCTGGTTCTATTGATGCAAGTTGATGCAGAGTGATACTCCAGTCATCCAATCAGACTTAGAGACTTAGAGTATGAGTTGTGGCCGTGATGTTTTTGTGGCACAGCTGGTCGTTGCGACCAACCCCAAGAAACTGCTAAACTTAGTGTGACTCGCTTCTCCAGCTGCCATGTCAGCTCAAATTCACTCACCCGATCATTACCGTTAGGTGCTGACAGCACTGCAGTGCCTTGTCCAGACTACCCTCTGGTAATTTAACATAACTATGGAAATTCACCATGTTTAATGGGAAAATCCACTATAAATGGCCATTTTCAATAGCTATTTTGTCATAACCAGAGGGTACCCTTTTTGGAGTGGCCACTTTCCAGACTGAGTTTGTTGGATGTATTGGGCTGAGCTGTGTCTCGCACATGACCATTCGCCAGGCAGAAACACCCCGCTTTCGATAAAGAAAGGGTGCCCCTGAACCCAGCGGTGCGAGTTTCAGGGTGTCCCATACCCCCATATTTCCAGTGGCCGAACACTTCTGTCTCTAAGGACTGATGTTTCACTCTTCCATGTGGCCGTTGCTGGCTCTTTTGCACAGTTTGGAACTCAGGGATAGCACTGCACTTGTAGCTGCGCCTTGAAGGATGGCAAATTGGATCAAACTATAAATTTTGAGATTTCGCCTAGCTTTGGATTTTGGATTATAGACCTTCAGATGTTATTTGGGGAACTCGCATCATATATGCAGGTTACCTACAAGTGGCAGTTGTTTAATAGTTGGTGAATTTGATGCTAGACAAACAGAGGCCATTTACAATCATTTACCAGGTAAATTAACATAGACCCTGGCCTATAGGGGTTGGAAGAGTACTTTCCATTAATACTAGGCTACTTTCGGGGTCTATGTTAATTTACCAGAGGGTACACCTGCTTTTTTGCCTTTCTTTACCACACTAGGAACGCTAGATATTTGTAGTTCCATGATTTTTGTTGACCTTCCGTTGCTCCATCCCTGCCTGGAATGGTTTCAAACAGTCCGAAAACTCCCTGGAGTGTTTTTTAAACATCATGTTCCTCAATCAATTGGATATGGGATGAAATATCTATGAATATCTGATCTATTTACAGTAAAAACAATTACTATATATATATGCAATGATGTGATATAATCTGCATAATTAAAGCTCATTAAAGGTACACATGCATAACTATATGTATATATATATATACACTTATAGTATTTTCGCACCACGGGCGTTCCATCCGCGCCAGGTCAATCCATTGCAGGGCGTTATGTGTCAGATTCAGATCCACTGGAAGGCCCTGCGCGGGGCCGGGAGCTGGTGCAAGTGCGGCAGGAAGTCGAGAGAGCCACCCAGACTGCTCGAGTCTTTTGGAGGAATGCTGTTTTCTGTTGGGCTCGGAAGGGCAGGTGTGACAAAAAAAAATGTTGGAGTCATGTTTAACTGGTTGGTGGTGACTGGAACCATGGAATTTTATGACTTTCCATATATTGGGAATATAATCATCCCAACTGACTTTCATATTTTTCAGAGGGGTTGAATCAAACCACCAACCAGTTAAAATTTGAATATATAGTTTGAATACTTGGGGCCTGGTTTGGTGAGGCTTGCGGGTTGTAATTCACCATCCAAAAGTGCAGCGAAATCCCCACAATAGGGATTTAACATAAGCCATCAAGATCCGTAAGGAGGAAATCAAGGGTGCAGCAGCTCTATTATGTGAGGCCGTCCCTCAAACAAGGTGATGCTCCCTGTTGGAGTCATGTTGGCATGTTTGTTGGGTTAGTTTCACCCACTGTCAATAGACTGACAACAAAATTAGTCGTTGAGAGTTATGTAAACGCTGATCCATTGCATTATATAAATTATGTAAGTTGATTTATACTATACACCTCCTTAACTACCACAAGCCCTAAACCAACTTAGCTATATAACGAACTGGAACACCATCACCGATGCTTTACCTGGCTTGTTCCGCGATCTGCCTAAGGCAGAGGTCTCGTTTATTACAGCTAGTGACTCGGAAGTGGAAAGGTTTGACACAGTTTGACTCGCTTCAAACAAATTACAGGAAATCATGGGGTTTTACTTCCCAACCAACAGGTTTTTTTCCTGAAACATATCCTTTCAACTGATTCTGGGAGTTGAAATGTTGAAATCTCCCGGCACTGAGCCGGCAAACATTTGTTTGTTTAGTTCCATGACATCGTCATGTTTTGTGGTTTTGAAATGTTTACGGCAACATGTTGAACATGTGTTCAGCTATACACACACACATATATATATATACATATAAATACACACACTCACACACCTTATTGTTTATTCTATGTGTAGCATGCTTAGAACAGAACCACGTATACTATCATGCACGTCAATATGTGGTATACTTATGTAAGTCGAGCACCGGTGCACATGAATGATGGCAGCTATTTTTCATTGGTGGCATCGAATGCAACTCAACCATCAATCAACACAGCAAGGTAGTGCATCACTTTCCGGGAACAGATTCTGAATGCACCCTCCAGTCAACAAACATAGCAATGGAAAGTCACATAACATCACCAGGTTCTAACCGATAAAAAGTTGACAAAGAGGCCATGTTCATCAATTTTCCAATTACCAGAGGTGATATTAATCCCCATATTCCCATTATATTAATATCCCCAGTATATCCCCATCCATTTCTATTTTCCGTTTTTCATGGTGACAACCCCTATGTGTTTAACGGCTAAAGGCACCTGGTTCGACGTCGAGACCTCGAAGCAACCGCTCAGCTGGCAGCCCTTCCGCTACTTCCCAGCCCTGCCCTTGCGGCAACCCGTGCCTGCGACCTAAACGGTCTGGTAAACTAACATAGCTATGGAAAACTAACATTAAATTACCAGAGGGTATGCCATATGCGCAAAATGGATCAAGATAATTTAAAATGGATCAACATGATATACCTGTGCCTGGGTCAAGTTTTTGGCTCAGTTGGCCATATTCCATGGAGCGGGCGGGGGATGGCGAACCGGCCCTCACCATAGATGAAAGTGCTTGTG